CCAAACTAAAAAGTATGATTGACCTATAAATTATTAAGAATCAACAGCATTCTGTTGGTTCGTATCAAATGTTTGTTTGAAATCGATGTCATAACAACACAGTTTGTTTTTTTGTTGAATCATCCATTACCAGCTCGCGTTGGTTACGTGCGTCACTGACACGCCCCCTTTAGCTCTATTCTAGCATGATTAGGTACTAAAATTTTAATGGCTATTAAATCTAATTCTGTCTCTCTCATTTCAAGGTGATTTGCAGCGATAGAAATAGTTTCAGGATCAACTTTTTAGCTTTTAGTGCATTGACTTTCTAATCCGCGTTGACTGGACATCTGCACTACATGAGCTGCTGTTTACATGTGAACATTAGCTCATGACGATACCTAAGTACGTGTGTCGCCTGGACAGTCTACGCTACATCCTTGTTGACTGGACAATCTGCACTACATGAGCTGCTGTTTACATGTGAACATTACCTCATGACGATACCTAAGTACGTGTGTCGCCTGGACAGTCTACGCTACATCCTTGTTGACTGGACAATCTGCACTACATGAGCTGCTGTTTACATGTGAACATTAGCTCATGACGATACCTAAGTACGTGTGTCGCCTGGACAGTCTACGCTACATCCTTGTTGACTGGACAATCTGCACTACATGAGCTGCTGTTTACATGTGAACATTACCTCATGACGATACCTAAGTACGTGTGTCGCCTGGACAGTCTACGCTACATCCTTGTTGACTGGACAATCTGCACTACATGAGCTGCTGTTTACATGTGAACATTACCTCATGACGATACCTAAGTACGTGTGTCGCCTGGACAGTCTACGCTACATCCTTGTTGACTGGACAATCACTGCACTACATGAGCTGCTGTTTACATGTGAACATTACCTCATGACGATACCTAAGTACGTGTGTCGCCTGGACAGTCTACGCTACATCCTTGTTGACTGGACAATCTCTGCACTACATGAGCTGCTGTTTACATGTGAACATTACCTCATGACGATACCTAAGTACGTGTGTCGCCTGGACAGTCTACGCTACATTACATCCTTGTTGACTGGACAATCTCTGCACTACATGAGCTGCTGTTTACATGTGAACATTACCTCATGACGATACCTAAGTACGTGTGTCGCCTGGACAGTCTACGCTACATCCTTGTTGACTGGACAATCCCTGCACCACACAAACTGCTTTAATACATACGAAGAATTTTCTTTTACATCTTTGAAAACAATAGCCTGTGATATCGATGCACTGTGTTACATAACAAATTAACATAGTTATCGCGTTTGCTCTTCGAAATACGTGTGATATCATTTGATGGAAAAATAACCTTTATTTCACACGTGATAAGTACTGTTTTTATGTACTATGAACTGGTAATTGCATAAAGTTGATCACCTTGAGCTGTGTTGTTTATGGGCAGTAGACATTAATGTACCTATGTAGTTGGATAGTATATACGGTACCTAACCTACATGGGTCTCTGGTAAACAACTTACGACGCCATTTTGAATTTTAACCTATTTTACCGATGATTTTTGTTATGGTATAAGCCAGTAAACGAGCAGACAGATCACCTAATGGTAAGAAATCGGCGCCGCTAATGGACACCTGAAACACCAGAGGCGTTACAAGTGCGATACCAGTCTTTTAGAAATTGCGAATTTGAAGATTGTGGAGGATTCGCGGATTGGGGAGACTGTGGAAGGGGGGTAATTGGGCCTCCGGTAACCTCAGTCTCACGACGAAACACTACGCAAGCGTTGTTACACGTTATCACTTCGATCGAGTCGGTCTATTCGTGCTGAAGCATGGCTCTCACACACAATAAAAATGAGGACCTGTTTTTATTACGTCTGATTGAAGTTCCGTTAGCTTAACTGACACTTTGAATTCGTATGGAAAATATGTCAAATTATCTGTCAAAGATCAGATTAAAAGAAAGTTAATCCAGTCATTGTAAAACATATCGTTTTATTTGTTTTTTGTTATATATTTGCTGGGCTGACGTTTGTCTACTATCTCGCCTGGTGTTAAGCGATGATGCGGTCTACAATGGAGCACGTCGTCCCATAAGCAACCTAATGTATTAACCTTTTATTTTTAAAAAAAATATTACATTATATTTATTTCTATTTGATATCGTACTTTCATCGTTAAAGGTGACATTTCCAAACCTTGGAACGCGTAAAAGAGAAAATATACCGATAATTTTACGCGTACCGGAAAAATCTGCTTTATGTATATTCACCGGAAAAATCTGGCTAAAAGCTAGCTCGATGATGCACCGAAATTTTGTTTTTAAAAATGCATGACGCACTGAACTAGTTCAAACTGGTTTCCAGAACCAACAACCGTGGTAATCAAATATTTTTATCGCGTTTTGTGTGTACAAATGGCACGTAGACACAGGAGACAGCAGCACATTAAAGTGTACTATAACTGTCAAATTTCTTTCATGGATTTTAGACTTTATGAGAACGCTTTAGCGTTGAACATCCTTTGAAAGTTTGGTGTAACTTGATGCGCTTTTGAGCAATTGATAGCTACCGAAATAATTATATCTATTGAGATGTAAGCCCCGTTGAGAAAAGACCATAAAAATAAAACTTTATTTTGCACACGAAATACTTTAATTGTTCGCTCAATCAAATTCTGTCTCTGATTGAAGTTTGAACCATCGATAACACAGACCACAGATAACGAAAGACATTTAAAAAACAAGTTCCGTTATGGACACACCTCCTTTTTATCGTAAATGGACAAAGGAGGTTATGTATTTGTAATGAGAACTGTAATTAAATGAAATGTTTCGGTAATTAGGCTTATCGTAAGTATTTGTAACGGATTTTAATAAATTAAAGAACTATTCATCGCAGTAAGGTTATTATTGCAGTGTACTGCATGTGTAGTGTGTACGTAAATGGAAAATTGTAGCACGAATAATATTAGTTTGCGGATAGTTTTTGATTACTAAATTTTAATTTTACTAGCTGTTGATTACTAAATTTTAATGTTACCCGCGACAGAATTGTTCGTCTGCGTAGAATATGAATATACATAATATACATACCTTCTATTTTGTTTAAACTTTCCAAAATAAAAGTAGTCTATGTTACTCCTTAGTACATCAGCTAACTGCCAATAAAAGTCCCGTAAAAATCGGTCCAGTCATTCCTGAGATTAGCCATTACAAACAGACAGACATACGGACAAAAACGGAAAAAATGTTCATTTGGTATGTGTATCGTATGTATATTCATATGCATGTAGTAAGAAGCGGTTATTTTAGTATTACAAACAGACACTTCAATTTTATTTATCTGTATAGATTTAGAAGTTGTGATACAGGATATTCTTCCTAGTACAGGCATTAAACCTAGTGTGATTTCTGATTTTAAATTAAGATGTTTATCTGTATTATGACCAATTTCTTATAATGAATAAAGATTTAAAGATTTATGTTGTATTTGTTGCCGTTTCAAAAGTACCAAACTGTGGTTTAATTGAAATAAATGCTTTGACTTTGACTTTGATATAGAACGCGGTGGTCTTTAGTCAGTACAAAGTCTGACACTCTCTCTAGCCTCACGCACTCCGGAAGGAGTCATTGAATGATTTCCCCTCTTAGAAAAAGAGCAGAAATCTACGTCAAAATGTGTGGGTTCAATATAAAAATTAAATTCGACCCATTAGTTACCTAATTTTGCAGTTCATTGTCTCTAAATGACAATTTACCATCTGCGGCGTTCCATTACACGGTACTGAGCTGAACCACTATTTTCTGAGCCATCGATTCGGAAAGTTGTTCAATTTGGTTGTTAAAGGCTTATAATCGAATTTGGGGCGGCGATTGTGGAGATAGAAGCTTTTTAGGTTAAGCAGGGCTTTATTTGTGTTATGTCCGTATTCGGACACATATAGTGACCAGATTGGCGATATATTAAAGAAGGGCCAAATTAAAAGTACCCTTAACCGACGAGCATGCATGAAAAGATTGATGACTGTTAATGAAGCGAAAGAGGTATGTAAGAATCGTAGTAATTGGCGTCCCTTAGTCTCTGCCTACCCCCATGGGAGACAGGCGGGAAGTTATGTATGTATGTATTATTTAAATCAGAATGAAAGTTCACTTGTAACTAACCTATAATCCACAATGATCACAAGCACTTAATATTACTTAATTTATAATTCAAACATTACGAATGTGAAGTAATCGATCGTCGAATAGTTTAATAAATAAATTATCACTAAGTCGACCTGTCAAAGCTGAAGTAATGTCAAAAGGTTATTGAACTTGTCACGTACTTGTTAAAGACAAATAGAGATAAAAGTATAGTAGGTCTTTGTTTATTATCTGTGATATTATCGAAATGTTTTTATTTAAATTAAGTCTTTTATTGATTTATTTGGTTTTTGCCAATGATTATTTAGAAATATAAATTTTCTAGTAAGTTCTTATTGTATATGAATTTCAGGATTAAAAATAGCCTATGTTACTGAAAAGACAATTTTGTCATGGTGCAAGATTTTTTAAATCCCGCGTTGGGTGCCATTCGCAAGTTCTCAAAATGAACTTGCAAAAAAAACCGAGGCTCCGGCTCGACGTGCAGTAGAAGGAACGGGGTGGTTTTTAGTCAGTAAGAGTCTGACACTCCCTCCCGCCTCTGTATGCGCTTGTTCCAGTATTTTTAAGTACTATCTTGATATCATCATCTCAAACTCGTATTTAAACTGTCAAACACCGCGAGGACACCGGTGACCGCAACCTATTGTTCTTTAATTGTGTCTATAATGACGGTACTCAAAGAGTAAGCAAACAGTAGTTGCTTCATATTGGGTTTTCACTACTGACGTAAAAGACAACAATTAATGAAACAATTATTATCAACGCTATCTTTATTATTTAAGACTTTAGTGCCGTAATGTTTGTCAACTTGATTATGTTTTTGTTATGTTGGTAAATATTAACAATGTTTTTTTTTTGTTCCAGGTTTGAATGCGTGCGAGAGTAAATCTTTTCTCTTTTTAAAAAAAGAGCTGCCTGTCAGGTGAGATATTTTTTAAATAATATCAACTTTGAACTTTTTTGTCGAAATTGAGCATTTAAAAAAAAAGCGATGCCCTATTCTATGTTTTTCATCTGTGTCGTGGGAGCGTTTACAAACAAGTCTTAGTATCACTTATATTTCCGTACTTGTATTGTTTTAATCGTATCCCTTGTCCTTTGACCGATACAATAATTGTAACATAAATAGTATGTATTCAACTAAAAATCTATTAACCATAGACATTGCTTTTAAATTTTTTTTATCCTTCATATATTATATTTTAACGTATTATTAAATGACAATGACCAAATTTGTATGGAGCGTGGTGCCTTTTCATTTTTTCGCAGCAGTTGATCGGATGTGGAAAAATAGATGCAGAATAACATTACAAATAAAAAAATGTATGGGGTCTTATATAAAAAACATAGTCCAAACCGAGTTAAATCAGTTCAAAGATGTGAAAATAGTGCTTTATAATTCCTTTGATTTTGTTGATGGTGACCGTACACATCGCATATTTCTTCATTTACTTGTCAGAAATATTTTGTAATAAATGTTTATAGACGATTTTAAGGAATATAATAAAGCTTATTATGGACTTTTATAATTATTATTTTTTTGTTTATTTCTTTTTTTTTTGTTATAAGGCCACGGATTCAGAACAGAGTGATCCATTAACTGACCATTGCTGAAGAAAAAAAACATTTCGTTTGATTGACTAGCATGTTCAATTTATATGTATACGGTTTATGGCCTATGACAGATTTTCATCATCAATTTCCTTTCAGTCAAAAACCCGCAAAATACTTTACTGAGCCCTATCATGAAATGCTATGTTTGTCAGCTGCGGCGTCGGTAGCGGATTGAGTAGTAACAGTCATCAAAACACGAAAAAATCATTTTTATGTCTACTTCTCCTGACTTACTTCCGATTAGTAACTAATCTAACTACAGTTAATACTTTAATCTACATCTAGCATAAGATTCTGTACAAAGACATCGTCATTCAGTCACAAAGTGATGCATTTCGAATGATCACATTATATGAAAAAATTATGCGCTCATCTGACGTATAGTCCATCACTTAACAAAGTCGACGGCTTGCTTTTTTCAAAAAATTATGCTAACTATAAAGTAGATGAGTCTCCCACCAGGAGTCAACGGCAAAAAAATACTTTATTAGATGTTTGGACGGCTACTACTACTCAACCCACCAACGGTACCACAGCTGACACTCATGAAGCTTCATGACACAACTCCTAGAAGCATCCCACAAGTTATCGACTGAGAGAAAATAGCTAATAAAAATTATCGACTGGCAATATGGATATATTGTGGTGTGATTTGGTGTTTCTGTGCCCGGCGTACAGTGGCGCGCAATTTGAAGTTAGGAATTGTGACAAAAATATGAATAATTTGAATAAAACAACAAAAGTAAAATGTTTGATTCCAGCTCCTTTCAACGCTCATAACTCAGTCCAGACTGAGATTTCCATATATGAGCCCATAGACAATTTCGTTTGTAATGTCATTCTAGATAATATTTTCCATAAATCATCGACTGCCGCCAGAAAAAAGAAAGGCACCAATTTTAGTCAATGCCCTTTTAACACATTTCCAAAATGACAGTTTGATATTATTAAACAACAAAACAAAATGGCTTCTGATCCGTAACAGAATTAGGGCAAATAGAAACGTCCGGAATAGATTGTTTATCTTATTTTTATACGGCTTCTCAAACATACGACAGTTTGTGATATTTTTGTTATCACATTTAAATTATGTACCTATAACACACGGTTATAGAATGTTACCGAATTTTCTATTTAAGTATAATCAGTCTTAATTTATATTTATACATACATGGCATACATAACATCACGCCTTTTATACCCGAAGGGGTAGGTAGAGGCCACTGTACAATGTAACACCCACTTTTCACTGTTTATGTTATGAGTCCGAGTGAGCTTATTGCCATATACCCGGCACAATTCGAGACTCCATGCTACTACTGAGAAATTAAAAAAAAACCAGTAATATTTTGCCGGACCCGGTAATCGAACCGGAGAAGACCCCTTGCCCGGCAGACGCACTTGCGATTGCGACCACTCGGCCAACTAGGCAGTTATATTTATCTATCTGTAAGTTTATTTAATAGAGACAGAATTTTAATACGTTGATATATCGTACTGAAAATCCCACAAGTAGTCTCTAAACATCGGAAATGCCGATTTGGAGTCGCGGAGAACCTAACGGGTTACCGGGGCTCCGGCTCGAAGTGCAGGAGAAGGAACGGGGTGGTTTTTAGTCAGTAAGACTCTGACACTCCCTCCCGCCTCACCCAGGCGGGAGCAGTCTTTCGATGATTTTCCCCCCTTAAAAAAAAACATCTGAAATAAGGTCTTCTTGTGGTACGATGCTGGAATGGACTTGAGGGGAATCACGTTCTGCAATTCGACTCTGCCGTAACCACGCGGCGACTTTGTATATACTACTTTAGCGAACATATTACATACGTATCAACAGCCTATAAATGCCCACTGCTGAGCAAAGCCTCTTCTCCCACGGAGAAGGTTTGAGCATAAATCACCACGCTTTCTCAATGCGGGTTGGCGATTACAAACTTACTTAATTAGAAATTATAAGCCCAGGTTTCTTCACGATGTTTTCTTTCACCGTTTGTCAGTGGTGTCTAGATAATCTTAGAAAGTACATATAACTCGGAAAAAGTCACATTGGTAGTTGCCGTTGGTAGGTTTCAAACCCTCATGCGTGACAAGCGACCGTTCTCCGGGCCTCCACGACATTACAGATATCAGATATTGTAAAACACCAATAAATAGATAAGACATAAACTGCCTATTAGCTGTCAATATGTGGCACTCAGTGTAACCATTATCTGGAAGATTCGGTCAGAACCTTGGAGATAACTTGTGTATTAGGGTGAGGTTATAGTGTCGAGATTGTAGCGATTTCATATTCGAATCGAACCAGACTTCTCAATCTTATATACTTTATCTTATACTCTTATACTATTATATAAATCACGGAGAATCTAACGGGTAACCGGGGCTCCGGCTCGACGTGCAGGAGAAGGAACGGGCTGGTTTTTAGTCAGTAAGAGTCTGACACTCCCTTCCGCCTCACCCAGGCGGGAGCAGTAGAATACTCAAATAAGTTTACCATATCTCTGAACCGCTACCTCCTATCACTAACCACAATCTTAACGCAATATTTACGCACAAATCAAGGTCAAAAGTCCTGTTGTTATGAAGAAGTTTAATATCTGATAACAAAGTAACGATAACAAATACATTTTCGAAGACGTGCTCGCCACTAGCACAGAATAACGTGCGCAAAATGTTATGTTATTTATTATTGTTATTTAGATTGTAATCTGTAACGTTATATTGAATACTAGCTTTTACCCGCGGCTTCGCTCGCGTTACAAAAAGATAATAAGTAGCCTGTGATATATACCAATACACACAGCGCCATCTATACCAATACTTTTGTTTTCCCTCGACAATATCAAAATTTTCCGGGATAAAAAGTACCCTGCTACGTCTGCAAAAATTCAAAGTAATCGGTTTAGTAGTTACAGCGTGAAAGCGGAACAAACAAACAAACAAACTCACTTTCCGATTTATAATATTAGTAAGGATTAAGTACTTACCTACGTGTATTTGATTTGTTATTATTGATGACGCATCATTAGTTTATTTTTTATTTGGAAGATTTCAAAGTTTGTTTGTTACGTTATGCTTTTAAAAACAACGCGATACGACATGTTTGATGTTATATGGGTAATGACCTTCCTTAATAATAAGATTATTAGGTATATTAGAAGGAAAATTAAAATCTACAAGCCTAATTAGGATGATGCGGAGTCTTTTTTTTCGGGGGGGAATCGGGGCAAAATCTTCGAATGAATTCTCCCGCCTAGGCGAGGCGGAAGGCAGTGTCAGACTTTAACTGACTAAAAACCACCCCGTTTCTACTCCTGCACTTCGAGCCGGAGCCCCGGTTACCCGTTAGGTTATCCGCGGCTCCAAGGTCCATATGAATAGTTTGCTTATGAGATGATGTGCTCCATCGTAGACAGCATCATCGCTAACCACCAGGCGAGATAGTGATGAAAAAGGACAAAAGCCAAGAAGGCCAATGGCCATTAGGCTCCGCAGCATACGGAGCCGCGGAGTCTTTTTTTTATGGGGGGAAAATCATCGAATGACTGCTCCCGCCTGGGTGAGGCGGGAGGGAGTGTCAGACTCTTACTGACTAAAAACCACCCCGTTCCTTCTCCTGCACATCGAGCCGGAGCCCCGGTTACCCGTTAGGTTCTCCGCGACAGCCGCGGAGTCTAATGGCCTTTGAAACAAGAATTATTTCTCACCAAATTTTCAAAACATACTCAGAGTCTACATGTATGAAAATTTACTCACTCAAGCTCAACCCCCTATTACATGGGAATGGGACCCATGAAATAAATGCAAAGATGAGACCTCTAACAAAAATGTTTACAAGCAGGTGTTACATGACGGAACTTACGTCAAAATTACTTAGGTACTAATATAAGGAAATCGTGGTTAGTTACGCTCACAAAAAAAAAACTGAAAATACTATATTCATACTCGCCTGTGATACAGGGCTTTCCTAGTACAGGCCAGGCATCTAACTGTATAAGGTGTACATCGCTTATTAAGATAATATTTTATATTTTTCCCATTTTGTCATCAATAAAGATTATTATTATATTACTAGCTTCTGCCAGCGGCTTCGCCCGCGATCCCAGGGGTAAAATGCCTATGTATCACTTCAGACCATAATCTACCTCTGTTCCGAATTTCATTCTGGTCCCTTCAGTCGGTTTTATATGACTGAGTAACAAACATACACATAAACTCACATATTTTCATTTATAATAAGCTCAAATCAACATCAAGTCAAGCTAAAATCAACCATTGGCCTTTCAGTTACAGCGTAAAGTCTATGAATGAGTATTGTAAACGTTAGAGTAGACAAATACAATCAGAAATCACCGAGTTGCTTGGCTATCGGGAGTTTCACGTGTTATTGTGAGTCAACCATAAAAGATAGACATATGCTCTCCAGGAATATTTTTTATATAATTTTAAGGAGAATATTTCCGTCATACATGATTTCTTTTTTTCAAGCTTTAACCTATAAGCCTGCAAACGCAACGGAAGCTTAAAAAATGGAGTATCTTCTCCCGTTTTCCCAATATTTCCTTCACTGCTCTGCTCCTATTGATCGTAGCGTAATGAAAAGTATACTATAACCTGCCCAAGAGTATGAAGAATAATTGTGCCAAATTTCGTTAAAAGCCGTCGAGTAGTTTTTGTTTCCATAACGAACATACAGACAGACAGACAGACAGACAAAAATTTTACTGATTGCATTTTTGGCATCAGTAGCGATCCCTAACCACCCCTTGATAGTTATTTTTTAAATATATTTTATGTACAGAATTGACCTCTCTACAGATTTATTATAAGTATAGATTATCTCTCTCTATTTCACAGGCTCGCGAATATAATGAAAGAGATAGCGCTACTGCCAGAGAACCTACTACGGATGCCGTCAGTCGGTCTGGTCAACCAATGGTACGAGAGGTCTTTCGAGGAGATCATCCAGTTTGAGCAAATGGAGCCTGATCCACCGATACTCAGCTCGTAAGTATTTTGTTTCTCTCTTTCGCTCTTCTCAGAGCAGTCATGGTCACACTGAAGCAGCTATATTTGTGTTGGAAGTAGATACTTCTTTCCTCATGATATCAGGGTCTCTGTATCTGGGCTGTCTGACACAAAGTTTCTTATTACTGATTTAACTTGATCAGTACAAACGTATTAGGCGATATTTGGATATATTTAAATAGGTACCAACGTCAGGCCATCACGGACGCCGGGACGCCCCGTCAGTTAGATACTCGTGTTTATAGGCTACGTTTGTAGCTTGAAAGTGGTCGAACAATTGGGATGATGACAGGGTATGAATATTAAAAATCTAATTAGTCCGTAAGTTAGGTAATGAAGACATATTAGACACGTAGTTTTTTATTTTGTCATATAATAAAATAATACTTAGATAAAACGAATCAAAGATTAGGAGTGGGAGCTAAAACGTCATTTCTACGTATAAAATGTACATAGAAGTGGCGTCACGCGACATTTCAAATCAAAATATCGTCGAAAGTATTCGTTTCTGTAAGAAAATAAAATAAAAAATACGTGTCTAATGATTTAAAATAATCTACCAGACGGACATTAAAATAAAAATTAGGCATCTACCCTATTTCACAAATCACTGGTACTGAATTAAACTTCCATTTTTGGCCAGTGCTATCTTTGCTATTGTTGAGGGATTGGGATTGGGACTCCGATAATTTCATTCACACATGCTTTAAAATTAAGACCAATGAATCAAGCATGTTGTATTTGTAAAATGTATAAATAAACAATTTAATCAGCTTATGCCAACACGAGTATTGTTCGTTGAAATTAAGCCAATTATAAACTATTGAAATTCTGATTGACTGCCTCATTGGCAGAGTGGTCGCAAGTGCGACTGTCGGGCAAGGGGTCTCGGGTTCGATTCCCTGGTCGCGCCAAGTGTTACTAGGTTTTTCAGTAGTAGCACGGAGTCTGGAAATGTGCCCGGCATTAAGTGCCGTTATGTGCACATCTGCCAACCCCTTCGGGGATTGAAGGCGTAATGTTATGAAATTCTCGCATTTTTTACTGCATCACACATCAAGTGACTGTAAACGCAACTTCTGAGTGGCTAGTACGAGTTTGTTTTACGATAAGACGATCGACTCGTTACCTCATTTTAACCCTCTGATTGAAAAGTCAAAGTCAAAATCATTTAGTTCAAGTAGACCAGGATGGCACTTTTGAACGTCAAACAACAAAATTTTATAAGTGAAGCTAGTTGCTCATTCCAAGGTGTAGATTCCTATTGAGAAGAACGAGCAAGAAACTCCATAGGTTACTCTTTTTCAATCGGGTTTACAATACAATTCTCTAGTTACATAGTTTTATTGGTTCGATTATGTGAGAACAATGCAACACCTAAATCCAGTCAGAAAGACTGAAAAAGAAAATAACCTTGAGGATAATAAAATTTGTTGGATTGGTTGGTCAATTAGAAGCAAGCCAATGCATGTTGGGGAATTTTGAAGGGTTCTCGTTTGTACCCTCCAGAACATTCAACCTCACCATGCAAACTGGCAGATTAAGAGTTTTTCATTATCACACAGGGAAGTACACTATTAATATCTGACACGCTCGACCACTAGAACAAAAGTTACGCTTAACAATTTCAAAGATTTGTGGATTCCCTCTTCTCCCACCGGTGCACAGTGTGAGAATCCCGCAATCTAGGGGGATTTAAATCAAAATATTTTTTGTCGTAAATGTTATTATAGTTATAACCTATTTATACCTAAGACCGTATTTAACACAGCTACCTATTAGAAATTCTTGTAGGTATGTTAAAAAAATTCAAATAAAATGTTGAAGTGGGTAGATAATAATCGTTGAACCTTTACAATACAAACAACAATATTAAAGTCTCATCTTCACTTGAGATTACTGATCAAATTAACGTATAGTCTTGTTTATTGGTTTATTATTGTATTGTGTATACCTTTCAAGGTAAGTTAGAGTGTATTTTGTTTAAGTAATAGTTAAACATTGATCTCATAACATCATTTGAAAGCACAGTTAAATTAAGCATTTTCTAGAGACGATTTGCAAAACAAAAGGGTGTATAAAAAAAAATGATCTGAATATCCCGGTGCTGTTATTGTTTTAATGTATAGTTTAGAGTCTTACATTTTAAGAACAATTGCTAAAACTTGCGATTTTGTGCGACCGTCATACATTTTTTTTCGGTTTTCAGAATGACGACCGAAATTACAAAAAAACAAATTTTTGATATTTGGACCTCAAATGCAAAAAAGGAGCGAATTGATTCTATTTTTGCTTTAATAATAAATAATTACCCTCATGTACAATTTTCGGAAGGTGCTATAAATGAAATTAAGTTCTTTTTAAGGAGGTTATGTAACAAATTTAACGAAAAATGGACAGCTAGCGGTAGACATCGTGATCGCTTTTTAAGCAAGAATATGACTTGGTTGAATGAATGCATTACATTACCAGAAAATGTTTTAAAAGAAATACCATCTACATCTGGCCATTCACCAGGAAGACCACACAAAAGTTTTGTAGAATGTTGTGATAAAACCAAAAAACGTAAAGTTCAGGATCTAATATCTTCTACTAGCCCTGAAGAAATAACAGTTGCACATGAATATAACCTTCGCAAAGCAGGTAAAAGGGACTCTGCAGATATCGTAAAAGAACTTTCTAATAGTTCACCTAAGAGAGGTTCCATCATGAAAAGCGTACGTAAAACGATTAGCGAAAGCGTTCAAGTGACTGTGTCGGCCGATGAGGCATTAAGCATGATGGTAGATGCTGATCTATCAACACATCAATATGAGATGATACGGCAAAGGATAAATAAATTGGTTAAAAACTTATTGCCATCTTATGACCGAATAAAAGAAGCTAAGAAGAAATGTTATCCTTCCCTGAAAACCGTAACAGAATCAACTGCAACGTGTGGCCTGCAATCATTAGTAGACCATAGTATCAAACGACTTTGTTTATCACAGAAAGAGGTTCTTGGGTCAATCCAGGACTTGCAAGGTGGAGTAAAGGAACTATCACTGTTAATTAAGTGGGGTTGTGATGGAGCACAACAAAAATCATATAAACAAAAATTTTGTTCAGAAAATAAATTTGATGAGAACCTTTTTAGCATATCCATGGTACCTATACAGTTAAGGTTGAATGGTGAAGAGCATAATACTATAGTATGGCAAAATCCAGCCCCTTCTTCGACAAGGTACTGTCGACCAATTAGACTTAATTTTGCAAAAGAGACTACTTCATTAATTAAAGAAGAGGTTGACACGATACAACAGCAGATCGATGTGTTGTCGGCCGTCGAAGTAAGTCTAGATAACTTTAAGGTTTTAGTGAAACCAATTTTTATGCTGACTATGATAGACGGTAAAATATGTAGTGCTCTATCTAAAGTTTCGTCCTCATCTCAAACTTGCTATATATGTGGAGCAAAGCCTTCAGAGATGAATAATCCATCACTTATTATGATGAAACCTCTCGATCTAGCTGCATTGTCTTTCGGGCTTTCTCCTTTGCATTCCTGGATTAGGTTTATGGAATGTATACTTCATATCGCCTACAGACTTGATATAAAAATGTGGCAAGCTAGAGGTCAAGAAAATAAAGATAAGGTTAAGGCTAGGAAGATACATATACAAACACGGTTCAAAAATGAATTAGGTTTATTAGTAGATTTACCAACTCAGCAAGCTGGTAATACCAATGATGGCAACACAGCACGCCGATTTTTCAGAAGTGCCACAATAACTGCTGATATTACCGGAATAAATTTAGAATTAATAACGAGGTTTCATATCATTTTAGAAACTCTTGGGTCTGGTTTTACAGTCGATTTAGAGTCCTTCAATCGTTACACAGAAGAAACCAGAAACCTATATCTTAGGGAATACTCATGGTATAACATGCCAGTAAGTGTGCACAAAGTTTTATTTCATGGCCGTAATGTCATAGCTTCGTGTATTTTACCCATAGGCCAGTTATCGGAAGAGGCACAAGAAGCTAGAAACAAAGATAATCGAAGATATAGGGAATTCTTTACTAGAAAAACGTCACGAATAGACACCAACACCGACCTACTTAATAGGCTTCTTATATAATCAGACCCGTTCATATACAGCTTGAGGCTTATAATGAAGAGAAAACGAAGTCCTCTAGACTCCGATGTCCTAAAATTGCTTTCTGCAGCCACCGTAAATGAGATCGAAAGTAGAGTTAGTGACTAAAATAAGAAAATTTATTAATACCGCATTTTTTTAATACAACTTTTTTTTCTATCGCTGTTTAAGAATTTTTATTTATTTCAATACCAATCAATATTATTTTTCAACTTGTATCTTTTATTTAAATCAATTTGGAATTAAATCCCCCTAGATTGCGAGATTCTCACACTGTGCGGTGGAAGAAATTGTCTCTAAACCATTTTTGCTTTCTATCAGCATATCTTCAAAATCCAGTAGGTCCCAACGACGATGGTCGAGTAAATCCAAATTTAGCATCGTGGGCTCCCCTACTGTAGGTGACACAAACTCGCATTATGTAATCTAAACTCAAGTATGATTCCTGAATCGGTCAGTTAGATTGAGATTTATATCTGAACTATTACTCGCCTCTTATGGGATGCATGCAACCTCATTATCATCTCGAAGTTTTTCAGAAAAAGTAGTGTAGATAGATTACTTTTAAACCAGCGTGCTTGTATGAGAGGTGTATGAATGTGATGGAAGCTAAAGAAGTATGAAGGAGCGTAGTAGGTGGCGCTCTGTATTTTCTGTATATCATCAGATGTATCAATGTGATGGAAGCTAAAGAAGTATGTAGAGAGCGTAGTAGGTGGCGCTCTGTAGTTTCTGTATACCATCAGATGTATGAATGTGGTGGAAGCTAAAGAAGTATGTAAGGAGCGTCGTAGGTGGCGCTCTGTAGTTTCTGTATACCATCAGATGTATGAATGTGATGGAAGCTAAAGAAGTATGTAGAGAGCGTAGTAGGTGGCGCTCTGTAGTTTCTGTATACCATCAGATGTATGAATGTGGTGGAAGCTAAAGAAGTATGTAAGGAGCGTCGTAGGTGGCGCTCTGTAGTTTCTGTATACCATCAGATGTATGAATGTGATGGAAGCTAAAGAAGTATGTAGAGAGCGTAGTAGGTGGCGCTCTGTAGTTTCTGTATACCATCAGATGTATGAATGTGGTGGAAGCTAAAGAAGTATGTAAGGAGCGTAGTAGGTGGCGCTCTGTATTTTCTGTATACCATCAGATGTATGAATGTGGTGGAAGCTAAAGAAGTATGTAAGGAGCGTAGTAGGTGGCGCTCTGTAGTTTCTGTATACCATCAGATGTATAAATGTGATGGAAGCTAAAGAAGTATGTAAGGAGCGTAGTAGGTGGCGCTCTGTAGTTTCTGTATACCATCAGATGTATAAATGTGATGGAAGCTAAAGAAGTATGTAAGGAGCGTAGTAGGTGGCGCTCTGTAGTTTCTGTATACCATCAGATGTATGAATGTGATGGAAGCTAAAGAAGTATGTAGGGAGCGTAGTTGGTGCTATTTAGTTTCTGACTATCCTTATAAGACAACGATAAGAGTTTATGTATATAATTTATAATCTTCTTTCCACAGATTCTGTGAACGTCTAGTGCACATACGCAACCGTCACGCAGATGTCGTCCAAACCATGGCTCAAGGTGTACTGGAACTGAAGGAGTCCCACGAAGTCGACCCTAGCACGGAGAACTCCATCCAGTATTTCTTGGACCGCTTCTACATGAGCCGCATTTCTATAAGAATGCTTATCAATCAACATAGTAAGTACATAACATCACGCCTTTTATCCCCGGAGGGGTATTACGGCACTTAATGCTACTGTACAATGTAACACCCACTTTTTACTATTTATGTTATGAGTCCCATGTAATAGGGGGCGAGCCTATTGCCTTATACCGGCACAATTCCGAACTCCGTGCTACTACTGAGATTTTAATTTAAAAAAACCCAGTAATTTTTTGCCCTACCCGGGAATCGAAAGCGAGACTCCTTGCCCGGCAGTCGCAATTGCGACCATTTGGTCATCGAGGCAGTCATAGTAAGTACTGGATCTTTTATATGGAATCGGCCGGCAAACGAGCAAACGGATCACCTGATGGTAAGCAATCGGCGCCGCCCATGATAGCATAATAGTAACAAATACATTGCCGGCCTTTGAGTTAAGTTTAACTGTCAGAGACCAATGCTTCGGCACGAATGGACGGGCCTGACCGGAGTGATACCACCAACGAGCAGAACACCGACGTGAAGCAACGCTTGCGTTGTGTTTCGTCGTGTGAGTGAGGTTACCGGAGGCCTAATTATTCCCATTCTCTTCGCCAATCTCCCCTATCCCTGAATCCCCAACAACCCTTAAATTCCCAATCCCCAAAAGGCCGGTAACGCACTTGTAGTTCCTCTGGTGTTCCAGGTGTCCATGGGCGACGCCGATTGCTTACCATCAGGTGATCCGTCTGCTCGTATACCTTCTCACGTAAAACGTTACGTGAGGAGGGGGAGGTTGGGCATCTGATTACCTTGCTCACACATATAAGCGTTATTTCACGCCGGTATTCTGTGAGGCTGTGGTATTACTTCAGTCCAGGCCTATTTGTGCCGATAGATGGCTCTCTGACGAGTTCCTAATTATTTATTATTTTATTTTATTTCCAGCCATGATCGTCCCACTGCAGGGCAAAGGCCTCCCTACCCTCTTTCCACTCCTCTATATGTAAAGCTTTTTGAGCACGAGTTCCTATGGATTAAACTATCCGATTTATACATTTAAAACTTTTCTTCCTTCCAGCACTCCTCTTTGGCGAGCAAATCGGTCCAAGACAGGCATCAGTGACAGGTATTGGCAGCGGCGGCCGCCATATTGGGTCCATTGACCCCGCCTGTGATGTCGCCGCTGTAGTGCGGGACGCTTATGAAAACGCGAGGTTTTTGTGCGACAGATACTACTTGGCTTCTCCTGAGTTACAGCTGCTCCAGGATGGAGGTGAGATCTGTTTCTCTTGTCAGTTTTTGTCTAAATTAAGTAAAATCGCGGGTTCATCATGTGAATATACTGAGAAAAGCTCAACTAGTCTCGAACCACAGAGGGGTTCTTCCTCATGAGCAGCGTGCGCGGTCGCGGCGACGTCGAGTTGTCTATACTATATCATCTATTATACATTAATTCTACCTATTTTATTTATGATAAAAAAGCAACTAAAACGCCTTTTTACCCCCCGAAGGGGTAGGCAGAGGTGTACAGTATGCCATTATATGCCACTGTACAACGTAACACCCACTTTTCACTATTTATATTATGAGTCCCATCAGTCCAAAAGATTTTTTCAAATCAGTCCAGTAGTTCCTGAGATTAGCGCGGTCAAACAAACGAAACTCTTCAGCTTCATATAATAGATAACATAAGAGGTAAGATTATTAAATTGTATCTATTCTCTTTTCCAGTACCATCCCAAGGCCCGATGCCGATTGTGTACGTGCCGTCCCATTTGTACCACATGCTGTTTGAGTTATTCAAGAACTCCATGCGAGCTGTGATGGAGACACACGAGGAAAGTCCACCGCCTATCACCGTCAACCTGGTTCGAGGACAGGAGGACGTTTCAGTCAAGGTAAATAGAATTTTCCATGTAGGTAGGCAGGGACTACGGAACGCCAATCGCTACGATTCCTACATACCTCTTACGCTTCATCAACAGTCATCAATCTTTTCATGCATGCTCGTCGGTTAACGGTACTTCTAATTTGGCCCTATTTGATTTAATGTAACAGAAAAATGGATGTAGAAGTCTATTTGTAACATATCATCATCCTCAGCCCAAAATATCTTAATTTTTTATAATAACTATCGTGAGACATACTAAATTAACTAAAATTCGCGGGTTACTCACGTGAATATATTAAGAAAAGCTCTTTTTTGATAACGGGGGGGAAACCTTCAAAAGGCGCCAAGCTTTTTTGGGGATAGAAAACTAGGGACTGTGGGATTCTTACCTCACTAAAACCACCCCGGTGGCCACCATCATCACCTATGGGGGGCACCGAGTCCTCTATAATAGACCTGCTCCGGGACCCCCATTGAGAAAAGCTCTACTAGTTTCGAACCACAGAGGGGTTCTTCCTCATGAGCAGCGTGCGCGGTCGCGGCGACGTCGCTCACTACTAGAGAACTAGTAGAGCTTTTTATTTATTTATTTACTAGCTTTTACGCGCGGCTTCGCTCGCGTCACAAAAGAATAAAAAGTGCCTATATGACATATACCAATACACACAGCGCCATCTATACCAATAATTTTGTTTTTCCTCGGGAATATCAATTTTTTCCAGGATAAAAGTACCCTATTATTTAATCCGGACTTCTAACTTTACGTCTGCAAAAATTCAAAGCAATCGGTTGTGTAGTTACGGCGTGAAAGTGGAACAAACAAACAAACAAACAAACTCACTTTCAGATTTATAATATTAGTAAGGATATTAGTAAGGATTATTTATAATTTGGACAACCAGTAGTTACTACATTAGGTCTTATATCTAAGCACTTACATTGTAATAAATTTTAAATGCACAACATTTTAAGGTGTCACAACATAGTACAGTAGCCTAACGATGACACTTTTATCAGTATTTGTGACAATTGGAAAGTAAAATAAAAACTAAGAAATACTTAAAATTAAAATATAAAATACTAGCAGGCCGTCCCGGCTTTGCACAGGGTAGACAATTATTTATTTTTGGAAATTTGGATTGTTTGTAGTGACATAACTACAATAGTTGGATATATACATTGGTCATATACACTATTTTGTTCTATCGCTAATAGTTTCGGCAGCGCATTCGACGAAAGACATTTCAAGACTCATTTTTCTACACCTTCGGTTACATTGTTCAAATTTTACCAAGGATCCCTAATTTTTTTCAAAATGAAATGTAGCCTATGTCAAATTGGAAGAATGTAGCATTCTATTGGTGAAAGAATTTTTTAAATCGGCCCAGTACTTTTGAGCCTATTCATTACAAACATACAAAAATAGGTACAAATCTTTCCTCTTTATAATATTAGTATAGAAAAAACTGAAATAAAAAAATCGTATCCTACGTATTATGGTCACTCAACAATCTCACTGCAGCCTTTTCAAAATTCGGTAGCGTGTCAGCAAAAATATCCAAAAATATCCAATTAGCTTTTCTCAATATCTTAATTTATTTATTTTCCCGTTAGCTATCAGACCGCGGCGGCGGCATCCCGCGCAGCGTGTCGGACTTGTTATTCAAGTACATGTACAGCACGGCGCCACAACCCTCCAAGTCTGATGCACACACCGTGCCCTTAGCTGGTGAGTACATATACATATTTAAGTATAACTAGCTTTTACCCGCGGCTTCGCTCGCCTCACAAAAGGATAAAAAGTAGCCTATGTGACATATACCAATACACACAGCGCCATCTATACCAATACTTTTGTTTTCCCTCGGGAATATCAAATTTTCCGGGATAAAATGTATTTAATCTGGACTTCTAACTTTACGTCTGCAAAAATTCAAAGCAATCGGTTTAGTAGATACAGCGTAAAAGCGGAACAAACAAACAAACTCACTTTCCGATATATAATATTAGTAACGATTAGAGATCACACAAACAGCCCACTATGAAAGAAACAGGAGCCCCGCCCAGCGGGGCTTCGTCGTAAACGTGAGTCTCTAGACATGAGTGGCAACCGGCTGAATGAATAAATGAATGAAATACGTTCAACGCCGCGTAACGTGTAGCGGGTTCGATTCCCGCACGGAACAACTTTTTGTGTGATCCACAAATTGTTGTTCTGGGTCTGGGTGTCATGTGTATGTGGATGTTTGTAAACGCATCCACGATACAGGAAAACATCCTAGAGTGGTGTCAAAAAAAAGAAAAGAGGCCGGCTCGACCGGAGTGATACCACGGCCGAGCAGAAAACCGACGTAAAATAACGCTTGCATTGTTTTACGTCGTATGAGTGAGGTTACCGGAGGCCCAATTCCTTCCCCCCATTCCCCTCTTGTGTACTTGTAACGCCTCTGGTGTTCTGAGTGTCCATGGGCGACGCCGATTGCTTACAATCAGGTGATCCGTATGCTCGTTTCCCGGCTTATCCCTTAAAAATCACACGGCTATCATTACTTTCATAATATCCTATCATAACTCTTACCATATTTATTCTTGCAGGGTATGGGTACGGCTTGCCGATCTCTCGGCTGTATGCTCGCTACTTCCACGGCGACCTGATGCTGATGTCGTGCGAAGGTTACGGTACAGACGCCGTCATCTATTTGAAGGTAAATATTACTATATTATATCAACTGTTTACCTGTACTAAAATAGATGTTCATGATTATACAATACTGCCTCATTGGCCGAGTGATTACAAGTGCGACTGCCGGGCAAGGGTCTCGGGTTTGATTCCCGGGTCGGGCAAAGTTTTACTAAAGTTTTGTAAAAAAATCTCAGTCAGTACGGAGTCTGGAATTGTGTCCGGCATATGACAATAGGCTCACCCCCTATTACATGGGACTCGTAACATAAAGAGTAAAAAGTTGGTCTTACATTGTACAGTGGCATTAAGTGCCGTAATGTGTACCTCTGCCTACCCCTTCGGGGATAAAAGGCGTGGTGTTATGTTAGACTTTTCAAATCAAAAATTATATGCAACTATCTTTTTCCAGGCTCTATCAAACGAAGCGAACGAACTGCTACCGGTGTTCAATCGAACGTCAACGAAATTCTACAGGCCGGTCACACAACTCGCGGACTGGTCCGGATCGCTCAACACAAGCAATGCACAATGCAAGAATCGAGATAAGGTCTCGCCCCTCTCCTCCCCAGTCTCCCATAGCCTATAGTCAACAACTAAGGAGTGACGTCACTCCTGTCCACAGGTAATTTCTACCTGTGTTCGATATTTACGGAAAATTTTTTCTTCGTAAAAAATCAGCCTGTATATAAAACCGATGAAGTAAATGTAGTTGGTAGGTTATGATATGACAGTGCTTTTTATTAAACTTAAACTCTTTTGAAGGAAGATGTCGGTATTGGATTTAAAATTGTGTATTTCTTACTGTTGTTTAAATGTTACTATTTTTTAATTCATTTCGAAACTAGTTATTTCTTACCAACTTGTAATTTTAGTTTTAGTTTTGCTCGTTAATCAGACGTTTATAAACATACCCCAATTTACTTTTTGTACATACTCTCCCTTCAGAAATAGCGAATACTTAATAATAATAACTTATTATTTATAAAAGCACTGAAATTGGCTATTGAAAAATATTTTGTTAAAATTGTTTGTTAAAAACGTATGCTGTACAATTTTTTTTAATGTAAAATATATTATTTGTGATACTCGACGGTTAGATATTGTTTTTGGGCTCGCAAAAGGACTGATAATATGAGCTCTGATGCTGTTTCGTGATTTTGTTTTGAAAATTTTAATAAAATTGATGAAAACTACTCAACAATTGATATAAAAGTTACCATACATCAATATTTCAAGGCTGTAAACTGCAAAAGCAGATTCAAGTTATGGAGCGCCCTTTTTATGGCGCCGCTGAAATTCTCTGGGCTGTTAGGCACGTACGTCTCGCGGCGTCCCTCTGTAATCTGACGGTTACGGCATTCACCTAGATTGCTTTAAAGACTATACGGCTCGGTCCGTCAAAAATAATAAAACATCTATTATTGTAATTTTCTATTCGAAACAAAATCATGAAACTTCATAGTGCAAGGTAATGGGTCGATAATTAAACTACTCTACTAATGTATTAGATTTAGTAAAAAATATCATAGAATAATATTTAGTTAAGGCAGTATGACTGAGGGAACTAGAAATTGTAGTTATAAATCTTTAATCACTTTAAAAAAAAATGTCAAATATTCCCGCCATTTTTGCGGCCATCTTTAATTCTTGGGTTTGTTCGTTTTAGTGTTCAATAGTTTAAAGCTTATATCTTGAATATTAGAATTTTGGTCATTTATTTTCGTTTTGTTATTCATTGTGATTAAATATTTCTAAATGCAATAATCTAACTCCATTATAATCGATGTTTGCTATGTATGAGATCTCGTACAATTTTGTATAATATCATTTAATACGAATTAGAAAGTAGTGTAGTGAAGAAAATTTGTTTTGATGACAAATGAAGTTTTTTTCGGAATAAAATATATTTTTGAATAAAAAAGTAATAATGGCGGACCTAAGAATAGAGCTGTAGATAGGGGATTGTAAAATGTCATGAGTTTAAAATACCGGGACGGATAAGTTAATAAAATAATGTAATATTATAATAATTTAACTAAGATACGCCTTAATATACAGCTATTTAGTGAAAATTGACTTAATTATTTATTATTTAGTGGCGCTTAATCAAGGCAGATACAAGATAGTAAAAATAAATTAAAATCAGTTTCTTCACCTGTTACTTATTTGATATTTATAAAACTAAAGTACATTTTCATTAAATATCTAGTTTTAAAATTACGTGTATCGTACGTTAGAAACGATCAGCACAAAATCATTTATTTCAATTAGACCAGAAAGGCACTTTTGAACGTCAACAAAAAAAAATTAATTTGAAGCTATTTGCTTATTCCAAGGTGTAGATTCCTATGGAGAAGAACGAGCAAGAAACTCCATAGGTTACTCTTTTTCAATCAATTCGCTTCTGTCCCAAAATCTAAGCGAGAGACAGATACTAAATACTGGCTACTTGACTAAAATACTAGCATAATGCGAACAAAGCATTTGTGAGTTGCGGGCGACGATGAGGCTGATATTCATGGCATAAGCGATGTCATAATAAATGACAGAAAATCTGTACGATTTATGTAATTTTAAAACTATGAAATGTAATAACGAATGTCTAAGTTACCTACTGTTCCAATAAGTGAAATGGTTGGTTTTTTTCGTTATGAACATGTTAAGTAATGTATTTTTATTACAAATAAAGTTTGTATTTTATTTTTGATATCTAAAATGCTCTTTAAGCATACTGTATCATGAAATAATCATTGTAAATACATCTATTTATATTTCAGTCTCGATTTATGCAATTTTTACAAACCTTAAATGCACTATGACAAGGGATTATTTGTGAAGTTAATAATAATAAAAAATGAAGTAATATAAACTGGTTAAGTGTAAAAATATATTTTAAGTTAAAGTACTACTCTTATTTCTGTTTGATAAAAACTGAAATCAGTTTATTTATAATATTGATTGAACGTTTACGCTGAAATACTCAAACGTCAATAAATAAGTCCGGCTTAAGTATCGTTCAAATTCTTCGTAAAATGACAGATTTTTTTAAGGGGGGAAAATCATCGAATGGCTTCCTGAGTGAGGCGAGAGGGAGTGTCAGACTCTTACTGACTAAAAACCACCTCGTTCCTACTCCTGCACTTCGAAGCGTAGCCCCGGTAACCCGTTAAGTTCTCCGCAGCATCAGCCCTATTGGGCCCCATCCGTGGTGGTCTGATGCCTCTTTGAGGCGCGCGCGGAACGCGACGCGCCGTACGCTCGGGTTTGATTTTGATCGGACGGGGAGCCACCCATGCTCGCCGTCCGCAGGCCCGCGCTTACGGTGGCCGGAGATCGTCCTGCGATCCCCGACGCCCGGAGTGTCCTTCGCGTCGGCAAAATGTCAGAGATGGCACGATATTTAAGTACGACTTATAATTGTAGCCTTTCAGTATTCAGGCGTTTGTTTGTCAATATTTCAAGAACTCGCGAAAACGATGTACGAATGTCTTAACAAAGATGGAATATAAACTTTTTGTAAATAACTTGTTTGTCAAGTGAAGCAATAAATAAATTATATTATTCTTGAAAATACGCCTATTTCTATGTACCTGGTGGTATTCTAAAACAAATATAATATTACTCATTTGCATTTTACTCGTTCTTATAATGTTGTATAAGTTTTATTCCAAAATCGATATTGTGTAATTTAAATATTAGTTAGCGATTAAAATATTGCGTATAGTATAGATGAACATTACCTAGTGAAGAAAAATATTTAATTTTTACTAAAATAAACTTTTATCACATAGAATTTGTGTTTTTATTAGAGTAAGTATAAAGGAACACCTTTTTTATACAGATAAATAAAATCTGATTGTCATATTAAACAAACGCTTTTCACTACATGCATACGATACACATACCAAAATATCATTTTTTACAATTTTTGTTTGTCTGTCTGTAATGGATAATCTCTGGAATTGCTGGACCGATTTTGAGCTGGAGTTTTATTGGCATTTAGCTGATGTACCTACAGTTTGGAAAATTATTAGAAGAAAAAAATAAAGTATGTCCTAAAATTCATATTCTACGCGCACGAAGTCGCGGGCAACAGCTAGTTCTTCAGTATGTCAGTCGACTATCTCGTTTGTGAAGTGATTGCAATGGGGCTACCGTTTGCTTAATAGAAGGTGTAAAAATGTAGGTTGAGGTTTTTTATCCAATCACAGCAGCTGTCAAATATTGAACGTCCAATGGCGTGATACTAGTTAATTCCCTATTGGACGAAGAACGAGAGCTTCGCACCAGCGCCACCTAGTGAGCAGAAATACGGTAGGCCCCATTGTGATTATGACGAGTCCATCGAAAAGTGGATGTGACATTGAATGTGTATATCAGTGTACACAGTAAACCTCTACCTGTAGATTATATAAGTAAACTAGCTGACCCGACAAACTTCGTATCCCATAATTTCTTTTTCTCGCCTTTTAAACCTTCTCTGGACTTCTACGAACATTTCAAGACTAAAATTAGCCAAATCCGTTCAGCCCTTCTCGAATTTTAGCAAGACTAGCGAACAGAAATTCATTTTTATTGATATAGATGAAACAAAAAATGTTTTTTTATTCCAAGACAAAATTAAATCAACCAACAACCTCCAAGTCTAGTAGGCAAATCTTTGCTTGATAGACACATCTGTGTTTAGTGACGGAAATGCAAAAAGCGTTACGTAGGTAACAAAGAAACATTCTGCTGATCCCTTTGCATACTAAGCTCGACGAATATAAAATATGTTTTATTACTTTAGGCTGTGGCATAGCATCATTTTATTGACCAAATCGACATTGAAATGAACGCACCCACTGATATTCGACTAAATAATAGAGCGCATGAAACGTACACTCGAACAACGTCACTAGGTAATTTTAAAATTGGAAGGGTTCTAAAAAAGTCAATGAGCTGAGCTGTCATTTTTTTTCAAGCGTGTCAGTTGCGTTTCAATTTTCGGCAGTGCTTAGTTGAACATAATTTATAACACTGTCTCCTTCTAACAAACCTAGAAAGACAGAGAACGAACATTGATAAAATACATTTCCTCAAAATTCTAATCCATTTTCTGCCAGCTGGGTAAACCGTGGAGGTTATGGAAAATTGTTATTGATCTATAAATTACTTTTAAGACTGAAATTTGTATTAAAATGAAGATTTACACAAACGAAAACAACACTTCCACGTTAAAGCTGCTTATTGCGGCTAATTTAGCGGGAAAGAAAGTGGAACTTGTCAGTGCTTCGTTCGAAGGTAGGTCAGATTTTCCTCTTAGGTCCTCCAAGTTAAATAAATCATATCTTATTTTGCTTTAGTGTGCTTTAGTTACTAATATCTTGCATGAATTTAGTAGTTCACTAACCGGCGACTAACTTTAATCCAAATTCTTTATAAGAATCTAATAAGTAAGTTGAATAAAAATAGAATATTTTCGTATTAGAACCTTCTTATTGCGACCTCATGCATGCTTAACATAATTTGTGTTTACGAGATATGACGAAATTGAAAAAAAAGCAGCTTAAATGCTTTTTATTCGACTTTAAACCTTGAAATTAAGTATTTAGTTTTTGTATTTATTTTTTTGTATATATTATTATGAATCATAACTTGGAATTACTAAAGTAAAATGTTTATTGCATCAGAAACTTACTAAGAAACCTAAGTTTTTATGTTTTTCCTTATAGATGTTGTGGAAAATAGTGTAGGAGGGTTTTTCTGGAATATTATTTTTCCTATTACGATTTATAATACCATGTTGGTCAAGTCATTCATGTAGAAATACTCAATTTTCATTAAATTTTAAGTTTCACTTAGGTATAGTTCTTTCATTACTAATTATTTGTAAAATGACAGGTGGTACGATATTTAGGTACAATTTAAAACAAGCCTTTCAGTATTCGGGCGTAAGAGAGATAACTAATGGCAATATCTAATTAAGATGTACCTCAAATATTACTACTAGCTTTTACAAGTGGCTTCACCCACATACCTGGGATAAAAATGAACCTATATATTATACCAGTCTAATGTGATGCCTATTTTCATCATTCTCTTATGAATTTGAAATTACATTATGACTGGTTGCACGTGCAACTGCAGGGCAAAGAGTCTCCGTTTCAATTCCCGGCCCAGGCAAAGATTGCTGGTGATTCAGGGATTGGGGACATTGGGGCCTAGTCCTTCGGGGGTAAAAGGTGTGATGTTATCAACTCAACTCAACTCAACTCAAAAGCATTTATTTCAATTAAACCTTAATTTGGTACTTTTGAAACGTCAACAAATATGAAATAAATAATAGTCTGTCAGTCTGTCCGTCAGTGAAGCTAGGCGCTCGTTCCAAAATGTCGATTCGAGTGGAGAAGAACCAGCAAGAAACTCCATACGTTACTCTTAAAAGAAAAAAAAAATATTATTAAACTCTTCCATTACTGACTGACTGACTAACAATGCTCAGTCAAAACTACTGGAGCTAGGAAGCTCAAACTTATAGCATATGTTGGTTGAGAAGTATAGGGTAACAATAGAAAGGATTTCCCTAAATTTCTAAGACATCACGCCTTTTATCATTAAAGGTGTAATTAGAGGTATACATTACGCCACTTAAAGTCACTTTTCACTATTTCTGTTATGACTCCCATGTAATAGGGGTGAGCCTATTGTCATATACCGGGCACAATTCCAGACACCATGCTACTACTGAGCTTTTTTTAAAATCCAGTAAAACTTTGCGTGGCCTCATCGAACCCAAGACCCCTTGCCCAGCAGTCGCACTTGCGACCACTTGGCCAATGAGGCAGTCAATACTTACTACAGAAATGTTTACATGACATGCAAAAATTCTGTTTATATGACTTTGTATCAGAATACTGATAAAGTATCAATGTGGTTATTTGATTGTGACGATGACAACTAAATATTATCTTTGTATATTTAGTAAATGGATGGATAAAAACTATTTTGATAATAATGATGATAACTGGTTTTCTATAGGTATTTATTTTATATCTATCATGTTATTGTTATTTCTTGTTGGGATAGGCAGATAGCACATTGGGATGATGACAGGGTATGAAAATTAAAAATATAAGCTTGGCGGGGCTTCGGCTCGAAGTGCAGGAGTAGGATTGGCGTGGTTTTTAGTCAGTAAGAGTCTGACACTCCCCCTCGCTTCACCCGGGCGAGAGAAGTCATTGGATGACTTCCTCCCTGAAAAAAAAAATTGTTGTCATGGGTGGCGTCCTACCATCAGGTGATCCATCAGAGTGCCAAGCACGAATAACTGTCGCATTCGTAAGTAATAGTATCGAGCGCGTTCGGCGCTCTATTGGCCGGCTCAAGTGAACCAACCAATCGGAACGCTTAACTCGCTCGATACTGTTACGATACGATTGCGATAGTTATTCGTGCTTGGCACTTTGTTCTGTCCCATAAAAAAGACACAATATCTATGTAGATGAGGCTTTATAGTAATATCTATGTAGATGAGGCTTTATAGTAATATCTATGTAGATTTAGCTTTATAGTTTAGCATGCTAACTAACCATGGGTAACGGCAACTGAGCAAAGGTCTGTGATTTCAGACGATGTATTCGCAGGGCCGCGCCAGCTCCCTCTGTTGGAGGTCGACGACAACTTGACCTTCTTCTCCAGTAATGCTGCAGCCTCATACCTGTTCCCCGTGCTTGATTTGACGGATGATGGACAAAGGTGAGATTTTTATTTATTTTTTACTAGCTTTTACCCGCGGCTTCGCTCGCGTCACAAAAGGATAAAATGTAGCCTATGTGACATATACCTATACATACAGCGCCATCTATACCAATACTTTTGTTTTCCCTCGGGAATATCAAATTTTTTCGGGATAAAAAGTACCCTATTATTTAATCCAGACTACTTTACGTCTGCAAAAATTCAATGCAATCGGTTTATTAGTTACGGCGTGAAGTCGGAACAAACAAACTCACTTTCCGATTTATAATATTAGTAAGGATGTATATATTTGAGGTTCGATTCTCTGCTGTAAATATTATGGAGTATGAATTTGGGAATAGGTCTGGGTGAGTTGGCAATGGACTATTGCTAAGTTCGTAAAATAATAATTATGACGTTTCGTATGAATATGTATGTGATTATGTCAAACACAATAAGTAGAAGTCAATAAATAATATCTTAGTAATTTTTTATTGGATTTTTGACAAGTTAAATACTTGTAATTTGTCTTTTATATTTATTTATTTAGGGTCAGCCAACGACTGTTTACACATTTACAACAAATCGGTTTACAATATGCATTTGCTTGTGTAACAATCAATTAAAGGCTAAAACATAATGCACAAGAGAATAGTTATTAGCCTAAATTTAAATTAGTAAACACAAATACAAATATCCCATAAACAAAAACCTATTTAAGGTGAACTTACAATTGGAACAAACAGTAGAAATATTATTACAATAAAGGTTGAACAATTAAAGAAAACAACAAACAAAAATATTTAGCATCTCATGATTTAAAACAACATTAAGTATGTATCATTAGAATAGACAAATAAAGATTAAATTTCATCAAATTACAATAGGAATATATTCATTACATAATTATTTATTTATATAACACTAGCTTTTACCCGCGGCTTCGCTCGCGTCACAAAAGGATAAAAAGTAGCCCGTGTGACATATAATAATACACACAGCGCCATCTATATTAATAATTTAGTTATTTCTCGAGAATATCAAATTTTTCTGGGATAAAAAGTACCCTATTACTTAATCCAGACTTCTAACTTTACGTCTGCAAAAATTCAAAGCAATCGGTTTAGTAGTTACGGCGTAAAAGCAGAACAAACAAAGAAACAAACTCACTTTCCGATTTATAATATTAGTAAGAATTAGTAAGGATCTCCGAATAAGGAGAGGTGCACATTACAGCACTCAATCCCACTGTACAATGCAACACCCACTTTTCACTATTTATGTTATGAGTCCCATGTAATAGGGAGTGAGCCTATTGCCATATACCGGGCACATTCCAGACTTCGTGCTACTACTGAGATTTTTTTTAAAACCCAGTACTATTTTGCCCGAACCGGGAATCAAACCCAAAACCCGTTGCCCGGCAGTCGCACTTGCGAACATACGGCCAACGAGACAGGCATTTCAAACTTATAATTAGAAATTATAAGTTTGTAATCGCCAACCCGCATTGAGCAAGCGTGGTGAGTAATGCTCAAACCTTCTCCGTGTGAGAAGAGGCCTTTGGTCAGCAGTGGGCACTCATAGGCTGTTTATATGTGTGATGCAACGCCAAATACTTGTCCTTTGTTTTGCTAAATAAATTATTCTAAATAAATTATTCTTAAATGTTCGTGAACGGGCACCGTCGATTGGAACTGGTCAGCTCCAGAATGTATCATTTTATTTTATTATCCTCAAGGGTATTTTCTTTTTCAGTATTTCTGACTGGATTTAGGTGTTGCATTGTTCTCACATAATCGAACCAATAAAACTATGTAACTAGAGAATTGTATTGTAAACCCGATTGAAAAAGAGTAACCTATGGAGTTTCTTGCTCGTTCTTCACCATAGGAATCTACACTTTGGAATGAGCAAATAGCTTCACTTATAAATTTTTGTTGTTTGACGTTCAAAAGTTGGCACTTTTGGTCTAATTGAAATAAATGATTTTGACTTTGACTTTGATGTTTGATTACTATTGGCCATATTTTGTATACACGTTCAGTTTGTATGCCCGTAAATGCTACATAAAAATGTTCTTCTTGGTCTTCTCAGCGAACAGATGCAGGAATGGGAAGCGACGCGGCTCCACCCGGCTGTGGCAGCGGTGCTGGCTGCGAAGTCAGTGGCTTCAGATCTCAAGCAGACGTTACAAGCTCTGCTCTCTACTGTAGACTCTAACTTGGGGAAACACAAGTATATTTTAGGGGTAAGTCACCATCAGCCTCACCCCCTATTACATGGGACTCATAACATAACATAAATAGTGAAAAGTGGGTGTTACATTGTGCAGTGGCATAATGTACACCTCTGCCTACCCCTTCGGGGATAAAAGGCGTGATGTTATGTTATGTAAGTCACCATTCCATTTATCACCGACTTCTAAAATAGATGAGGTAAATGTTTTAATGATTGTTTTGTTTTTATTTAGTAATAATACTGGCTACTGCCCCGCGGTTTTATCCGCTGCTCCGTAAAGCACTTTAGGGCTCCCCAATAGGGCTTATGCAGATATGGACCCGCGGAGAACTTAACAGGTCACCGGGGCTCCGGCTCGAAGTGCAGGAGTAGGAACGGGGTGGTTTTTAGTCAGTAAGAGTCTGACACTCCCTCCCGCCTCACCCAGGCGGGAGAAGTCATTCGATGAATTTCCCCCTTAAAAAAACCGATATACGTCTGGTCGTTATTGGTCGGTGACTACGTTTCCCACACACGTTCGCTCGTCATCCTTTGGTACTTGGTTGATGCTACTATCATCCTTGCAGGCCAAACTGTCAGCGGCAGACATCTCAATATGGAGTACACTCTACCCCATATACTATAACTCTGAACTAAAGTCGGGGTACTTGGCACAATGCTCGCATATATCGAGGTGGATTGAAGAGTTAGCCAGCGCTAAAGCAATACAGGTAAAATTTAAAATAAATTCATTTACTTTTTTAAACGTTTTTAATGAAAACATTGCCCCACACTAGAATACGGTAGTTTCCTAAATTTTATTTTAATGTCCGTCTGGTAGAATTTTTTAAAACATTAGACACGTATTTTTTCTTTTCTCACAAAATTAAATACTTTCGACGATATATTCATTTGAAGTGTCGTGTGACGTCACAGCGTGCTACATTTTAATTGCACGTTGTGACGTAACGACCTCCCACTCCTTAACCTAACGCCATTTTATATTAATATTGTAGCTTTATACAACAAAATAAAGAAATACGTTTCTAATATTTTTCATTATCTAACTAACGGACTAATTAGATTTTTAATTTTCTTACCCCGGCAACTACCCAATTGTGTGTTATATACTTTCTAAGATTATTCAGACACCACTGACAAACGGTGAAGGAAAACATCTTGAGGAAACCTGGGCTTATAATTTCTAATTATAAGTTTGAAATCGCCAACCTGCATTGGCAAGCGTTTTGATTACCTAATGTTGAGCATTATTCTTTCCATGTCTTCTCCGTGTGAGAAGAGGCCTTTGGTCAGCATTGGCCACTTGTAGACTGTTGATGATGATGTGGTGTGAATATTGTTTTTTAGGAAGCTGTAAAACAATGGGGAGGGTCCGCCGCGGGTCCATTTGGTTCATCATCAGCTCTGGGCATTCCACAAGTGGCTAGCTTATCCTCGCCTGTAGGGTAAGTAATAATATAATAATAATAATAATAAGCCCCCTCAAATCTAACCACACGGCCCGATCGAACATCAGATCACGTGGGGGGCGGGCAACGCATAATTAATATTACTGGGCGGCTAACGTGGCAATAGTAACCCATCGACGAAATGGAGACGAGAGCTAAAAGAAATTTACGTATAGGACCGCTTCCCGGGGGCGATCGCCGGGGCACGCCTGGAGCCGATGCTGGGCGTTCCAGCATACGAACCATCGGTGGTAGTGAGTTGAGTCAGCGGGCTCCTACCGGGTCACGCGAATACGTTACCAGCAGACCATCATCCTCAACTTCCCTGTTTCCCTCACTTCCTTCTTCTCCTCTCTCCTGCTTAAACTACAACACTGATTATTCCTCAATTTCTTCCCTTTCTTCTACTAACTCTGCAGCCATGGATGTTGTGCAGGAGGCAGTAGCTAACAATCCGGCAACCACCACTGGTCAAGTTCGCGCGCGAATGAGATAGACGACAGAGATGAACGAGTTCATCTGGCGCACCTACCTTTTTGTCACAAATCTACCTCGTGTGTTCATAAGTTTTTTCATAAGTCTTCTGAGTGCGACATGGATTTCGGCGAAGTCGCTCTCGGATAATTTTCATGTTCGCAGGCGTCCTCACAGAGCGTGGACGACCACTTCTTTGCCGATCATGTAAAGAACTTGTCTCCTGGTATCGTTTAATAGTGTAATACACGAAGTTACGGCTCACACCAAAACTTTTCAGTTCTCGGAAAATGTCCATAGGTTTTCTTCCCACCTTAAATAATGAAATGACGGTCGCACGTAATTCTTTTGTTCCCTCCATTACGAGAAAATTTAAATAAAATAATCCGAAATCATAAATATTAAAAGTTAACATTCCAAATTCAAAATTAGAAAAAGAAATATATAGCAGCCAGTAATTTTTTTTTTATTTTTATAAGCAAAAAGTTTGTCTCAAAACTTATGAACACACGAGGTAGATACAAAAATCCGCGGTTATTTAGACCCCCTTCACGCCAAATTCACTGACAGATTTCCAGAAATGAAAGTGAAAGAGTGTAATAGATGGTGAGCCTATTGCCATATACCGGGCACAATTCCAGACTCCGTGCTAATACTGAGAATTTTTTTAAAACCCAGTAATACTTTGCCCGATCCGGGAATCGAACCCGAGACTCCTTGCCCGGCAGTCGCACTTGCGACCACTCAGCCAAAGAGGCAGGCAAAAAGGTTTGCGCACATAATATCTTATTTAACTCGTCGAGTACCTTATTTATAGACACAATTAAAGAACAATAGGTCGCGGTCACCGGTGTCCTCGCGGTGTGAGACAGTTTAAACAATTGTACTATTACATGGGACTCATAACATAAATAGTGAAAAGTGGGTGTTACATTGTACAGTGGCATAATGTGCACCTTTGCCTACCCCTTCGGGGATAAAAGCCGTGATGTTATGTTATGTATTATGAAAAACAGCCACCTTTGCGTTCCTTGTTTTGTCTCAGCTAGCTATCTTATATTAATTAATTTTTTTCTTCAACAGTTCACCAGATGAGGGCGCTGCAGTCGAATTAGGTCCGACAGCGGAAGAAATACAAGCAGCCAAGGACAACTGGCTGAATGGTCTCAAGAACCTTCAGAAACCTTTAATTCCAGGCAAATTAGTGTGAGTTGAAGTCTTCTATTATATTACATACTAGCTTTCTTCAGCGGCTTCGCCCGCATTCCCGTGGGATAAAAAGTAGCCTATGTTATTCCGGACTATGATCTAACCTTGTTTCCAAATTTCATCACGATCCCTTGAGCGGTTTTGACGTAAATGACTAACTAATATACACACAAACTTTCGCAGTTTCTTTGTTTGGACGTTTGTCCGTCAATCACGATGAAACTAATGGTCATTTATTCGGTCGAATAAATCCGTTAGTACCATACCCTGCCCGTACAGGCAGGGTATGGGCTGACTTAGGTGATAGGATACTTTTATCCCGATCAAATGCTCCCATGGGATAAAACAGGAATACGTGGGCAAAGCCGCGGGTTAAAGCTAAGTATAATATTAGTAAGATGATTTGTCGGCACGAATGGGCCGGCTCGACCGAAGTTATACCACGACTTCGCAGAAAACTGATGTGAAACAATGCTTAGATGGTGAGTGAGGTTGTGCCTTTATATGGCAGGCTATATATGGCGGCGAGTAATGTAATAAAACAATATCTATCGGCTCACACGTCCGTTTATTAATGCTCTCTTTACAATACTGAATATAATACTGATGTGCTGTAGGCACAAGGTTACTGGAGGCCCAATTCCTTATCTCCCCCATCCACAAAACCCGATATTCTTAAATACCCCAAAAGTCTGACAATCCACTTGTAACTCTTTTACTGTGTCTATCAGCGGCGCTGATAGTTAATCAACTTACGTCTTCGGTGAATGAAAGGCGTGATGATGTTGACTTTTTATAAACTACATTAAAAAACCGACTTCAACCCCCTCTTTTTTGAAGTCGAGTAATTAATATACTAAAGCCTTCTCCTAAGTGTAACATACGTCGCGGAGAACCTAACGGGTAACCGGGGCTCCGGCTCGCCGTGCAGGAGAAGGAACGGGGTGGTTTTTAGTCAGTAAGAGTCTGACACTCCCTTTCGCCTCAACCAGGCGGGAGCAGTCTTCCCTTCCTTGTTCCTAGATTTTCCCTCCTTAAAAAAGTGTAACAAACACTTTTCTGAAAACCGCATCAAATTCAGTTCAGACAATCGCGAGATATATGCGCGCAAACATACACACCTACATACATACATAAGGTCAAACAGAGTACTCCCTTATTTTACTTTTTGAAGTCGGTTTTTTTATGGTATAAGCCGGTAAACGAGCAGACGGATCACCTAATGGTAAGCAATCGGCGTCGCCCATGAACACCCGGAACACCAGAGGCGTTACAAGTGCGTCACCGGCTTTTTGGGGATTAGGAGTTTGAGGATCGTTGGGGATTCAGGGATTGGGGAGATTGGGGAAGGGGAGGGTAATTGGGCCTCCGGTAACCTCACTCACACGACGAAACAACGCAAGCGTTGCACCACGCCGGTTTTCTGTGGGGCCGTGGTATCACTCCGGTCGAGCCGGCCCATTCGTGCCGAAGCATGGCTCTCCCACACTTAATTTTAATTTTAAATAATAAAATTGTGTTTCAGATTACCGGTAAAAAACAGGAAGAATGTACTGATAACGTCAGCGTTACCGTACGTGAACAATGTCCCACATCTGGGCAACATCATCGGCTGCGTGCTCTCTGCTGACATATTCGCGAGGTAAGCGTGAACATAACTCATGTTTTGTGGGCACCATGTCATGTTTGAAACAATCATTTATCCCCCTTAAGTTATGACGTAATTTAAATTTATGGTTGACCCCCGAAGGCCCTTTTAAATTCAATAAAAATAAATTAGAATGCCTCATTGGCCGAGTGGTCGCAAGTGCGACTGCCGGGCAAGGGGTCTCGGGTTCGATTCCCGGGTCGGGCAAAGTATTCTTGGGTTTTAAAAAAAAATCTCAATAGTAGCACGGAGTCTGGAATTGTGCCCGGTATATGGCAATAGGCTCACCCCCTATTACGTGGGACTCATAACATAAATAATGTAAACTGGGTGTTACATTGTACAGTGGCATAATGTGCAGTGCACCTCTGTGTATCCCTTCGGGGATAAAAGACGTTATGTTATGTGATGTTACTTTCTGTGTTTAGCCCGGACATACATACAGACAAACAGACAAAAACTCCAAAAACCATATTTTTAGCTTCAGTATCGCTTTTAGATCAGGCCCCGAGCATTCTTTTAAAAAAATAATAAAATTACAGTTTTTACTTTCTTACGATTTTATTATATGTATAGATTTTAGTATAGAGATGTTAAAATTGTAACTTTATTTTGTTGACAGGTACTGTCGATTATGTGACTACAACACTTTGTATATATCTGGGACTGACGAGTACGGCACAGCGACGGAAACTAAGGTAGCTTTTATTTAACTTGTAATAGTGTAGATGCCTAATTTTTATTTAACTTGTAATAGTGTAGATGCCTAATTTTTATTTAACTTGTAATAGTGTAGATGCCTAATTTTTATTTAACTTGTAATAGTGTAGATGCCTAATTTTTATTTAACTTGTAATAGTGTAGATGCCTAATTTTTATTTAACTTGTAATAGTGTAGATGCCTAATTTTTATTTAACTTGTAATAGTGTAGATGCCTAATTTTTATTTAACTTGTAATAGTGTAGATGCCTAATTTTTATTTTAATGTCCGTCTGGTACGGGCTTGTCATTTTTTGTACGGGCGGCGAATTATTGCTGTATAATGTATCTGTGAAAATAAAATGTCGAAAATTGTAACATGTCAAGAGTGATACAAAAGAATGTCGTTTTAAGTCGTCTTTTAATAAATTAATCTCCAAAATCTCCACAGATTATACACTGTTTATTGATGAATTACGATGAAAATGCTGTTTAGCGATTCGACTCTATTGTATATCTCAACTAGCGAGCCCCAGCTTCGCACAGGTCCAATATGCATGTATTATACATATAAATTCTACTTCCTTAAGAATCACTCTATCTTTAAAAAAAAACCGCATCAAAATCCGTTGCGTAGTTTTAAAGATCTAAGTATACATAGGGACAGACAGACGGCGGATAGCGACTTTGTTTTATACTAGGTAGTCGCAGTCATGGTTTAAATGAAATTAATTTATTTTTCAGGCCTTAGAAGAAGGTATATCGCCCCGTGAGATTTGTGACAAATATTTCGATATACACAATTCAGTGTATCGCTGGTTCAATATCGGTTTCGACTATTTTGGTAGAACTAGTACGCCGCAACAGACCGAGTGAGTATTATTTAATGATATTTTTGCTTCGATTCCTCTATAAGACAATAGTACTGTTTTTTTTACTAATTTCTACTTGACATCTCGACAATTGGGTACTTTAACCCCTTGAGCATCCTTATGAGCACCCGGTGGATCATAAGAAAAAATGCTCCATGCTGCTTTCTCTTTTATAAAATCTATTATTAATGTTTTGACTGTATTTGTTTTATTTCTATTGTAATGATCCTTGTTTTCATGTACCAATGGCCCAATAAATGCATTTTCTTGCATGCATAAGGATAAGGAAATGTATAAGGAACGCGGGCGCTCGACGGGTTAACTAAAATCGCGGGTTACTCATGTGAATATACTGAGAAAACCTCTATACTAGGAGCTAGGAGGAAGAACCCCTCTATGGTTCGAAACTAGTAGAGCTTTTCTCATTATATTCACGTGAGTAACCCGCGATTTTAAGTTAATTTAGTATGTCTCACGATAGTTATTATAAAAACAATTGGGTACTTGCCAACTAGTCAGATTCAATATTTTTTTCGAACTGTCAAAAACGACAGTTTTTCTACGAATTTTGTACGATATTTCTTAAAAAAATGCTGGAAAAATACTAAAATTAAGTTGGTCATAAAAGCAATTAATGAAAGTGTGATTATTATTTAATATTTTATTTTGAATCTGCAAATATTCGTGGATTACTGAGTTGCGAGCGTACAAACGCTAGCAGAGATGCGACACAAAACGTATAACCACACTCGACATATGTTTCGCTCCTCCACGGAGCATCTTCAGGATGTTGTTGACTCGGCGGCTTCCGGGGCTCAAACTATACTTTTACATTTTGTTATAAAAGAAAAAAGATGTGTTTAATATTTTGACCTGTAATCTACCAAACGGACATGAAATTCAATTTTACTACCCTATTAAAAAAATCCGCATCAAAATCCGTTACGTAGTTTTAAAGATCTAAGCTGATACAGGGACAGACTGAAAAACCGATTTTGTTTTTTACGATGTAGTGATTATATGACATAAATTCACGCCTTTTAGCCTCGAAGGGTTAGGTAGAGGTGAACATTACGTCACTTAATGCCTCTATACGATTGAACACCCACTTTTCACTATTTATTTATTTATTTATGTACAAACATTCAACACAGAGGACAATACATAATAAAAAACAGAGTACATAGGCCCCACATATTCCAACTGGAATTTCTTCCTGTGGGCCCGTGGCAGGAAATGAAATAACAATACTGAGACACATAGTGTGTTACACAAAAAAGATAAAAATCAATTAATAAAAGAAAAGTAATAAGACCGAAGAAACCAATAGAAATAACAATAATAAACAATAAAACAAATTAATGTAATACAATTATAATACATATATATATAAATATAGAAAAACAAATCTATATTATCTATATTTATGTTATAGGTGGTGAGCCTATTGTGCCTAATGTAGTGATTGTTTACAGAATAGCGCAGAGAATGTTCCTGAAGTTAAAAGACAATGGTTTCGTGAGCTCACAGTCGGTGGACCAGCTACTTTGTACCAATTGCGACAGGTTCCTAGCCGATAGGTAAGTACGTTTTTATTATCCTATCTTTATATATATACAAGGTGTTGTTTTTGTAATATCTTATGGTAATGTGGGTAAACGCATAATAAATGAGTCTCGTTTAAACCGTCTTTGATTGTGCATCATATTCTACAGTGGCGACGAGTTTTATTTAAAATAGTAAAATATCAAAATGCCAATCGGGAAAATTCATATCTTTGATCTCGACGGTGGTGAAAACTGGCCAGCATATGTGCGTTTAGTGGAACAGTTTATTTTACTAAACGATATAAAAGATAACCTACGCGTGGCCACGTTGGTGACACACGTTGGAGCGTCGACCTACCGGTTAATGTGCGATCTGTGTGCTCCAGACAATCCGGAAGATAAAACATTTAGCACCTTAGTGGAGCTTGTAAAAAATCACCTGGAACCCAAAAGATCCGAAATAGCCGAACGACACGTGTTCCGTCAGCGGCGGCAGGAGGAAGGTGAAAGTATTAAGGTGTTTTTACAAAACTTGAAACACTTGGCTACCCATTGTAATTTCGAAAACCAGTTGGAAGTGAACCTGCGAGATCAATTCGTGTCGGGTCTCCGTAGTGAAGAGATACGATCTCGACTATTTACGGAGACCACTCTCGACTACAAGAAGGCGGTTGGGCTGGCGCTGGCGCTGGAGGCGGCTGAGCAGCACGCGGCTAAAGCCGTGGCACCGGCCGCGCTGTGGGCAGCAGCCGGCCCGGCGGGACTCCAGGCAGACGCGGGCGAGCGCGTGCACCGGGTGAGCGTGGCCAACCAGGCCAGCGCCGCCGGACGAGACGACGCGGCGCCGCGACGTGAAGGGTGCTGGCGCTGTGGCCGGGCTGGCCATGCAGCGCATAGGTGCCGATACAAGTCGTATGTGTGTGAAAAGTGCAAAGTGAAGGGCCACTTAAGGTCCGTATGTGATAACAAGAATGTGAGTGCGCGTCGGTCTAGTTCTAAATATCAAAACTTCATAGAAACAGACTCAGGAGAGTCTGGAAGTGAGGAGTTTGAAGGATGGTATACTATTAAAGGTGAGACAGTTCAAAATGTTGAAGACGGCCCCTATTATTGTGAGCTAATTGTGGAAAATATGAAAGTGTTATTTGAAATCGATACGGGCAGCAAGATATCGGCGGTATCTAAATTTTTTTATAATCAATATCTTTCTACCTTACCCATTGAAAAAGATAACATTAAGTTAAAGTCGTATACAGGTGACGCAATAGTTCCGTTAGGTCGAGTATCTGTGCGAGTCAGCTGTGCGGGAGCAAAGCATACCGTACTCACATTGTTTGTTATCGAGCACGGCGGACCTCCGCTTATCGGCCGCACCTGGATGCGCGAACTTAAATTAAAATCATTAAATTTATTTCATCTTAAAGAAGATGTTGATCCCTTTGTGATTGAATTAAAACAAGAATTCCCAGAAGTGTTTACTGATAAAATTGGTACTTATAAACATAAATTAACACTATATTTAACGGATAACACGCCGATATTTTGCAAGTCACGCCCCCTCCCACTTGCATTGCGCGAGCCAGTGGAAAATGAACTTAAACGCTTACAAGATGAAGGTATAATTTACAAGGTTGATAGATCTGATTACGGAACTCCAATTGTGCCAATAATCAAACCGGATGGTTCTATTCGTTTATGTGGCGATTATAAAGTGACGGTTAATAAATTGTTAAAAGATGTTCATTTTCCATTGCCAAAAATTGAAGAAATGTTTGCAGCGCTAAGTGGTGGGGAGCAATATACTAAATTAGACTTAAAAAACGCATTTATGCAACTTGAGTTATCTGAAAATTCACAACCGCTCACAGCGATCACTACGCATGTAGGGACGTTTGTTTATCGCAGGGCTCCTTTTGGACTTAAGTGTCTACCTGAAAATTTTCAGAAAATTGTTTCCGAAACATTAAGCGGTCTTGAATATGTGGTAGCATTTATTGACGATATTTGTGTGAGTGGCAGGAACAAATCTCATCATTTGGAAAACTTAAAGAAAGTGTTGTCTAGACTCAGAGAAGCCGGATTAACGATAAAGTTTTCTAAGTGTGAATTTCTAAGGGATGAGGTTTGTTACCTGGGATATCGAATAACCAAACATGGTCTTTACACGGACACATCAAAAGTTAGTGCCATATTAAAAATGCCTATCCCCGAAAACGTATCTCAATTACGAGCTTTATTAGGTTTCATTAATTATTATGCACGGTTTATACCCAACTTAAGTACGATTCTACATCCACTACACGCCCTTTTAAAAAAGAGTGTTAGATGGGTGTGGTCACAGAGCTGTAATGCTGCATTTGAGAGATCAAGATGCGATTGACAAGTGACCCGGTGCTGGCGCACTACTCTCCGAAACTGCCGCTGGTGCTGGCAGTAGACAGCAGTGCTTACGGCCTGGGCGCCGTGCTTTCGCAGCGCCACCCTGACGGTAGCGAGCGTCTTGTGTGTTGCGCCTCGCGCACACTTAATGACGCCGAGAGAAGATATAGTCAAGTGGATAAGGAGGCGCTAGCCATTGTGTACGGAGTCACTAGACACCATCAATATCTTTTTGGTAGGCATTTTACACTTAAGAGCGATCACAAAGCTTTAAGCTACATATTCGGTCCTAAAAAGGGAATACCGCAAACGGCAGCGAGTCGCTTGCAAAGATACGCGGTTCGGCTTGCAGCTTACGATTTCAATATAGTATTCGTAAACTCGGAACAGAATAGTAACGCTGATGGGTTATCACGATTACCTTTAACAAAAACTAAGTTGGAAGATCCCGACGACGCAGCATATCTTCATTTCGTTGAGGATAGTTTTCCTCTTAGTCACAAGGACATAGCACAAGCGACTAAAGAAGATAAAATTTTATGTAAAGTATACGGTTACATAATGAGTGGTTGGCCGCTTATAGGCGATGTGGAAGAGATGAAATCATATTATCACCGTCGTGAAAATCTACAAATAGATCACGGGTGTATAGTTTGGGGATACAGGATAGTGGTGCCGGAACGCCTGCGTGCACAAATCCTGGAGGAAGTGCACACGGGGCACGTGGGCGTCGTGCGCATGAAGAGCATTGCACGCAGCTACGTGTGGTGGCCGCGTCTCGATAGCGACATTGAGGCGCGCGCCGCCGCCTGCGTCGCCTGCCGCTTGCAGTTGGACGCGCCGCCGAAACACACTCCTGTACCGTTTGTATGGCCTTCAGAACCTTGGACGAGGCTACATGTGGATTTTCTACAGTACCAAGGTAAATACTACTTTTTGATACTTGACTCTCACTCCAAGTGGATCGAAGTGTTTTTAATGGGGACTGGTACATCGGCTCAGTTAGTATCAAACAGATTGAGAGAATGCTTCAGCCGATTTGGGCTTCCTAAATCTTTGGTAAGTGACGGGGGACCGCCATTTCAATCTAAGGAATTCGAGTTGTTTTTAACCCGGAATGGGATTAAGCATATTCTAATAGCTCCCTATCATCCCTCAAGTAACGGTGCCGCCGAAAACGCTGTGAAGACAGTTAAGAAAGTCATCAAAAAAGCGGTTTCTGAAGGTCAGAACATTGATCGAGCAATTAACAACTTCCTTTTGGTATATAGAAATAGCACACATTCAAGCACCCAACGTGAGCCAGCCGTAGCACTGTTAGGGCGGAGGCTGCGTATGCGCTTAGATCTGTTGCGTGCCAACCCTACAGATGCGGTCGAAGCGGCACAGGCCAAACAAGTCGAACATGCTAGAGGTATGCACAGAGAGGTCCAACCTGGAGAACGAATATTGTTCCGAGATTACTCGAGAAACAATCCCAAGTGGATGGAAGGACAGGTCTCGGAGCGTACTGGAGCTGTAACATATAAGGTAACTACGGATAACGGGGAATATCGAAAACACATAGATCAAATTATGCCTTTACGGAAACTTACACGGTCCTCTAATCCTATTATCACAGACGCCGATAGTCGTACCGTTAACAACGATCCCGAGGACTTTGAGTCATCACCGAATTCACCAGCGACTTCGTCACTTGAAACCTCACATGAATCGCCCGTTGTACATGAGTCTATTTCCGGGGATTGGGTCAATAGTAAACCGAGAAAATTAAATATACATAACAAAAATAACGAATCCTTGGTTGAACTATAATCTTGTCTGGTAAAGGCCTTGTTTGTAGTAAGTTATACTGTTTTGTAATAGTTATAGTTTTTTTTTGTCTCCTTCTAATCTTTCACATTATTAGCTATAAATACGAATAGAATTCGTTTTTTTTTTGTTTGTGTAAATGTTAGTACTTAAAAAAATACAATAGATAATTTATTTTAGCGATTGTGATTACAGTTAGGATATTTCATTATAGGCAGTATATTGTTTGTTACATAGTATATGGTCATGTGGGTAAACGCATAATAAATAAAAAAAAAAAATGTTCATACACTCGCATGAGTATTATAAGCAGCAGTTTAATTTTCGTTTAACTTACATTCTTTTTGTACATTAATTTCTCGTGAGGGAGGAAATGTAATATCTTATGGTAATGTGGGTAAACGCATAATAAATGAGTCTCGTTTAAACCGTCTTTGATTGTGCATCATATTCTACAGTTTTAAAGCCGCGTCATTTTCTAAGAGGTAACTCTGCTATCGATTCTGAGTCCGAATCAGTAAAAAAAGTGTAGGTAAACATTTTTCATTTTTCTGTAAATTACGGAAATCCGTAAGTGCGAACTACACGCCGCCGTCTTGTAGCTAGTTTTATAACGCGGCTTAACACACACAAACTTAAACATGTAATTGATATTATTCCTAATTCCATAAAACTGCAATAAGAAACATTGCTGTCGCTTATTCTGAAACACTGTCGAACTTAAACGATTTATTATGGCCGTATTTTTAACTATTGGCCCGAAACTTTTATTTACATTAAACCTTTATGACTTCTGTGACATGCCCCCGAGAAATGACACGGTTTCAAAACTACACCTTGTATAATTCTTCTGTGAGTGTGTATATCACTGAACTTCTCTCAAACGACTGGCTCGACTTCGATGAAATTTTGTGTGTGTTCAAGGGGATCTGGAATGGTTTAGATTCACAAATCAGCCCGGCAGATGGCGCTGGCGATCGATATTTAGGTTATTTATCCTAAACAGCTGAACTAATTTCAATGAATTTTTGTTTATAGATTCAAGTGGATATGCAGGACAACGTCTGTTGGGTCCGCTAGTGTACATATATATTTTATCCCGATCCCTTTAGCAATTTTGAATTTGATTGAGTAACGAACATACATACAAACACTTTCGCATTTAATTGTAAATGCGAAATTCATAATGTTAATTAGTAAGATATAAAGTCAAAGTCAAAATCATTTATTTCAATTAGACCAGAAAGGCACTTTTGAACGTCAATAATAAAATTAAAAGTGAAGCTATTTCCTCATTCCAAGGTGTAGATTTCCTATGGATAAGAACGAGCAAGAAACTCCATAGGTTACTCTTTTTCAATCGGGTTCACAATACAATTCTCTAGTATAAGCATGGATAATATTATTATTAACTTAAAATCGCGGGTTACTCACGTGAATATACTGAGAAAAGCTCTACTAGTTTCGAGCCACAGAGGGGTTCTTCCTCATGAGCAGCGTGCGCGGTCGCGGCGACGTCGCGCAGCTCACTTTTCTTTTTCTTTCACAGAGCTTTTCTCAGTATATTCACGTAAGTAACTCGCGATTTTTAGTTTTATCCTTTTGTCCCCGAAGGGGTAGGCAGAGGTGCACACAGAAGTAACACCCACTTTTCACTATTTATGTTATGAGTCCCATGTAATAGGGGGTGAGCCTATAGCCATATACCCGGCACAATTCCAGACTCCGTGCTACTAGTGAGATTTTATTTTTTAAACTAGCCCGATCGGGAATTCGCACTTGCGACCACTTGGCCAACGAGGCAGTCAGTTAGTTAGTTAGTTAATTTAGTATGTATCACAATAGTTATTATAAAAATATTTTTGTTTTTAGATTCGTAGAAGGCACTTGTCCGTACCCTGGGTGTGGCTACGAAGGTGCCCGTGGAGACCAGTGCGACAAGTGCGGCAAGTTGATCACTGCGACGGAACTGGTGACCCCGAGGTGTAAGGTCTGTGGGACGACCCCATCCGTGACCCCCAGCCAACAACTCTTCATTGAACTGGGACAGGTACGACTTTAAACCGACTTCAAAAATCAAAATTTACGTCAATTCCACATAATTTCGTTTACTATAGACAAGCGCTAAATGGCATTTGGTTACAGCTGCTGATGTTGATGCCGTTTTCAGACTCTTCACCTTTAGATACTAGTACCTATATGATTTTAAATATTGACTAAAATTTAAAATATAGACTAGGGGTCTCGGGTTCGATTCCCGGGTCGGGCAAAATTTGTATTCTTAAAAATTTCTTAAAAAAATTCTTAAAAATCGAAAAATCGTGGGTTACTCACGTGAATATACTGAGAAAAGTTCTACTAGTTTCAGGCTGTTGATGTCATGGTATCATTTCGTGTATGTAACAATATTTGTTATAATCCCCCCCCAGTTGGAACCGTCGATCCGTACGTGGATCACGTCGACGGAGAAGCAGTGGTCCCCGCCGGCGCGGGCGGTGTCCCGCGCCTGGATGCGGGAGCCGCTGCGGCCGCGCGCCGTCACCAGGGACCTCAAGTGGGGGGTACCTGTACCTGTCGACGGGTTCACTAATAAGGTAACTACTGATGGGACCTTGCCTCGTTGGCCGACTGCTCGCAAATGTGACTGCCGGTTAAACGGTCTCGAGTTCGATTCCCGGGTCAGGCAAAGTATTACTAGGTTTTTAAAAAAAATCTTAGTAGTAGCACGTCGGAAATTGTGGTTTAAGGCAATAAGCTCACCCCCTATTACATGGAACTCATAACGTAAATAGTGGAAAGTGGGTGTTACATTGTACAGTGACATTAAGAGTCGTAATGTGCACCGACCCCTTCGGGGATAAAAGGCGTGATGTTATGTTATGTTACTTTTAGAGTTTAGCCCGGACATACATACAGACAAACAGACAAAGCTACCAAAAACATATTTATAGCTTTGGTATCGCTTCTAGATAACACCCAAGCTTTCTTTTAAGAAAATATTCAAAAATATAAAGTTATTTTAAGTGCACCTCTGCCTACCCCTTCGGGGATAAAAGCCGTGATGTTATATTATATGTAATGTGGACTACAGTATTTTTGTTCACCACTTGGAGCTGGTATGAACCTCTCGTTCTTCGTCCATTAAGGAATTATCTAGTCACTGTCACGCCATTGAACGTTCAGTATTTGACAACTAATGTGATTGGACAAAAATCCCTTCTACATTTGCGCTATCTACGTGTTCGTTTTACGTGTTTACGGACGTATTTTTAAATTAGATTTTATATTTTTTGAAATCATTGCATTACTTTAGATAGAAAGAAAAAACATTTATTTGGCAAATGGCACACAAACAAAGATTATAAAAATAAAAATACATTTGATTTCTTCCCGTGTCGTGAGTGCGTTTACAACCATACAAGTTCACATACACATGACACTCAGACCCGGAACAACAATCTGTAGATCACACAAAGTGTTGTTCCGTGCGGGAATCAAACCGGTTGCCAAGCAAAGCCGGTTGCCGGTGCTTTAAATCGAAGTTTAAAACGTATATTATTATATTGTTAAATTATATATATATTGACTGCACGGTTGGCGCGGTGGTTGGGCAACTGACTGCCGCGCAACGTGTCGCGGGTTCGATTCCCGCACGGAACATCTCTTTGTGTGATCCACAGATTGTTGTTCCGGGTCTGGGTGTCATGTGTATGTGAATTTGTATGTTTGTAAACGCACCCACGACACGGGAGGAAATCCTAGTGTGGGGTAACGGTTTAAAAATTTCTTTCATAGATTGGGTACTTGCCTTATTAAAAAAAACTAATTATTACAACCGTTCAATACAATAAAATATTAAAAAATGTGGATCCCACAAACTGTTGCTTCGTTTGGGAATCAAGCCGGTTGCCGATGCGGTCAAAAAGCGAAGTTCATAAATAAAACGTATATTTATATTAATTTATAATATTTAATTTAAATGTATAATATTCTATTTTTCAGGTATTCTACGTCTGGTTTGACGCGCCCATCGGCTACCTCAGCATCACGCAGAATGCGACTAAAGAATTCGAAAAATGGTGGAAACCGGACAAAGAGTATAATGTAAGTTACCTTATTATTAAAACTTTATTTTTTCACGAATGGGCCGGCTCGACCGGAGTGATACCAAGACCGAGCAGAAAACCGACGTGAAACAACGCTTGCGTTGTGTTTCGTCGTGTGAGTGAGGTTACCGGAGGCCCAATTATCCGTCCCCCTTCCCCAGTCTCGCCAATCCCATCCAATAGATAATGAAAAAATATTAGACACGTATTTTCTTATTTTCTCGTATTACGTTGCAATACTTAGATAAAATGGCGCTAAGTTTAGGAGTGGGAGGTCGTTACGTCATAACGTGCTACTAAATGAGGCACGCTGTGACGTCACACGATATTTCAAATTAATATATCGTCGAAAGTATTTAATTTTGTAAGAAAAGAAAAAATACGTATCTAAAGTTTTAAATTAATGTACCAGACGGACATTAAAATAAAATTTAGGAAACTATAATTATATTGACTGGAGCAAATATTGTCTGAAGTAACACATAGGCTACATTTTATCCCACGACAACGCGAGTGCAGCCGCGGGCAGTAACTAGTCTATCATATAAGTAAGGTTCAAAATTTGTTATTATTTGAAATCTAATGCTATATAATAATTTGCAGGTGAAACTATACCAGTTTATGGCCAAAGACAATGTTCCGTTCCACTGCATCATGTTCCCTGCCACCCTGATGGGAGTCAACGAAGGCCATGTCCTCGTCAGTCATTTGTATGCGACAGGTAATTATTACATACATAGCATCACGTCTTTTATCCCCGAAGGCGTAGGCAGAGGTGCAAATTACGGTACTTAATGCCACTGTACAATGTAACACCCACTTTTCACTATTTATGTTATGAGTCCCATGTAATAGGTGAGAACATGACACATAGGACCCACTTACTACCCACTTTTTTAGTCAATTTTCCGTGGTGCTTGGCGACTGGGCTTCACCCAGTTGTACAGTCTCTTCTTTGTGCCTTTAGGCTTAATTCATTCTGTCTCCTGCAGTAAATCACCGAGGGAAGTGGAAACCATCGTTTTTTCTTCTTCTCCTCTTATAATATCTTCTGATTCACTTCGTTGCGGGAACCAAGACAGTTACTCATGTCCCTGGGACGCGCCGGACTTCAGTGTTCCGGTGTTTTCACGGTTGTATCTACTGGAGATCCTGGCTTACAGGAGTTGCAGCGGTCTTGGGAGGTTGTGGCGGGCTTGCCCTAAATAAAAAAAAGTAGAGGGTGAGCCTATTGCCATATACCGGCCACAATTCCAGGCTGTGTGCTACTACTGAGATTAAAAAAAACCCAGTAATACTTTGCCCGATCCGGGAATCGAACCCGAGACCCCTTGCCCGGCAGTCGCACTTGCGACGCTTTGAACTACCTTAAAAAACTATGATTTTAAATTACATATGAATGTTTTTGTTCCCAGAATATCTGAACTACGAGGACGGCAAGTTTTCAAAGTCGAGAGGTGTGGGCGTGTTCGGGACAGACGCACAGGTAATCTATTTTATCTATATACTAGCTTTTACCCGCGGCTTCGCTCGCGTCACAATAGGATAAAAAGTAGCCTATGTGACATATACCGATACATACAGCGCCATCTATACCAATACTTTTGTTGTCCCTCGGGAATATCACATTTTTCCGGGATAAAAAGTACCCTATTATTTAATCCGGACTTCTAACTTTACGTCTGCAAAAATTCAAAGCAATCGGTTTAGTAGTTACGGCGTGAAAGCGGAACAAACAAACAAACTCACTTTTCGATTTATAATATGAGTGAGGATATTCTTTTCAATTCATTTACGAAATAAGATTATTCAGACACCACTGACAAACGGTGAAGGAAAACATCGTGAGGAAACCTGGACTTATAATTTCTAATTATAACTCTGAACTGCCTCGTTGGCCGAGTGGTCGCAAGTGCGACTGCCGTATCTCGGGTTCTATTTCCGGGTCGTGCAAAGTATTACTGGGTGTTTTAAAAATTGTCACTAGTAGCACGGAGTCTGGAATTGTGCCCGGTACATGTCAATAGGCTCACCTATTACATGGGACTCACAACATAAATAGTGGGAAGTGGGTATTACATTGTACAGTGGCATTAAGTGCCGTAATGTACACCTCTGCCTACGCCCCCGCGACCTCTCGCCGGGCAGTCGCACATGCGAGCACTCGGCCGACGAGGCAAGCACCATAGATAATATCTTTATATATATAATTCTTCTGTAAGTGTGTATGTCACTGAACTTCTCTCAAACGACTGGACCGATTTTGATGAAATTTTTTGTGTGTGTTCAAGGGGATCTGGGAATGGTTTAGATAGAAATCAGCCCGACAGATGGCGCTGCAGTCGATGTTTAGGTTATTTATCCTAAACAGCTGAACTAATTTGAATGAATTTTTGTTTATACATTCAAGTGGATAAGCAGGACAACGTCTGTTGGGTCCGCTAGTATTAATATATGTATATGTTGTTCCAGGACACGGGTATACCATCAGACGTGTGGCGTTTCTACCTGGCTAGCATTCGACCTGAGACTTCAGACTCAAGCTTCAGCTGGATCGAACTAGGTACAAGGTGAGTCTATATATTTATTTATCTTCAACAATTGGCGTGATGTTTTGATAATGTACGGTCAAAGGTCAAAAGTCCTCTGCCACCGTAGACTACTATCGGTTGCGCTGCAGCGCTTATACACACATGCACACGCATCCGTGTGCGTACGCGTGCGTGTGTATGCGTACGCACGCGTTTTTATGCACATTGATATGAAATTACTTACGCATTGCCGTGTGAATATCACTCACGGTGGACTTATGACCTTTGACTGTACTATGAGTTCGCATGCGCTTTCGAAGTTTGCTTTTTGCAATGGTTCATAAGTTATTTGTTGTTTTAAACATTTTAGTTCTTTGTAAAACTATTGTATTACCGAGACAGAATCATCTTACTTCGGAACGAAAATAAAATAAATGTCACGGTGTATAATTAGGTACTTTCCTTAATCAAAAATAAATTATTTCGACTGTTCAATACAATAAAATGTTAAAAAATAATCACACTTTCATTAATTGATTTTATGACCAACTTTATTTTAGTATTTTTCCAGCAAATTTTTAACAAATAACTATGCTGTTTGACGCTAAAAAAACGTGACGTCACAATACACAATCTCGTACAAAATTCATAGTAAACTGTCGTTTTTGACAGTTTGAAAATGTATTGAATTTGACGAGTTAGCAAGTACCCAATTTCTATGTATTCATTTTACTTGTAACATATGAATTTGTATATTACAGAAATAATTCGGAGTTATTAAACAACTTGGGCAACTTCTGTCATCGGTCGCTGAGTTTCTGCGCGAATACGTTCAAGGGTCGAGTCCCGGACGTGGCATTCACGCATGCTGACTATGAGCTCATCGCCTTAGTTAACAGAGAGGTTGTCGGTACGTATATTATGTTTTTATAATAACTATCGTGAGACATACTAAATTAATTAAAAATCGCGGGTTACTCACGTGAATATACAGAAGGCTGTGCGACATCGCCGCGCACGCTGCTCATGAGGATGAACCCCTCTGTGGTTCGAAACTAGTAGAGCTTTTCTCAGTATATTATATTTACTACATTTCTATATAGAATTATAGAATTATCTACATTTCTGTATAGAGATTTTCTTTTTCGATCTCTTTGACTGGATTTTGGTGTTGCATTGTTCTCACACAATCGAACCAACAAAACTATGTAGCTAGAGAATTGTATTGTGAACCTGATTGAAAAAGAGTGACCTATGGAGTTTCTTGCTCGTTCTTCTCTATAGGAATCTACGCCTTGGAATGATCAAATAGCTTCACTTTTAATTTATTTTTTGTTGACGTTCAAAAGTGCCTTCCTGGTGTAATTGAAATAAATTATTTTGACTTTGACTTTTTTGAATTTAACAGAACTATATTTAAACCCGATTTAATATTGAATGCCATTTGAGTATTTTAGCGTTACTGGTAAAGTCAAAGCATTTATTTAAATTAAACCATAGTTTGGTACTTTTGAAACGTCAACAAATACGAAATAAATAATAGTCTGTCAGTCAGTCCGTCAGTATATCCGATACGACCTTCAAACCTTCAAGAAAAGAGCGTATTCCTTTTTAAAAGGCCGGCAACGCACCTGTGACTCCTCTGGTGTTGCGGGTGTCCATGGGCGGCGCTGATCGCTTACCATCAGGTGATTCGTCTGCTCGTTTGACTCCTATTCCATAAAAAAAAAGTGAAGCTAGGTGAAGCTAGGTGCTCATTCCAAAATGTAGATTCGAATGGAGAAGAAACTCCATTCGTTAAACTGAATATTTTGAGCCGATTAGAAACAATACTATAAAATAATAATAATAAAAAGAATTATTAATCTTGTTCGTCAGCGTACGTGCAACACATGGAGAAGGGTCGTCTCCGCGAGGCGTTACGTCACGTGTTGTCAATATCTCGGCTCGGGAACCAACACATGCAGTTCCAGCAGCCCTGGGTGCTGCTCAAAGGGTCTGATGATGACAAGTAAGTTGTTAAAACCCCCTCCCCTTTCATATCTCAAAAATCAAAAAGCTCTATAACTATGACGCAACGCATCCGTGACTCCTCTGACGACGACGACTGAGCGAAGCTGATGGCTTACTGGATCCATATGTCACTTAAGGGGACAGTAGAATACCAGCGCGAGGCCCTGTCTTGCACATGCTGAACTGGTCCCATTTCACCGCAGACTTGGGACATTAGTAGATGTACTTATGTGTAAAATGTCTAAAATCTGTACGTGTCACCTGTTTTAGCGTGTGAAATAAAGTTTTTCTTTCTTTCTATATGCTTATTTGTGGTCGTGGTGGCCCGGAGGTTTAAGACGCCTACTTCTCATGCATGAGGGTGCGGGTTCGAAACCTACCAACGGCAAGTACCAATGTGACTTTTTCCGAGTTATATGTACTTTCTAAGATTATTTAGACACCACTGACAAACGGTGAAGGAAAAACATCGTGAGGAAACCTGAACTTATAATTTCTAATTATAAGTTTGAAATTGCCAACCCGCATTGAGCAAGCGTGGTGATTAATGCTCTAACCTTCTCCGTGTGAGAAGAGGCTTTGCTCAGCAGTGGGCATTTATAGGCTGTTGATGATGATGATGATATGCTTATTTGTATCTTATTCCTTTAAAAAACTATATAATAAAATATTCCTTTTATAACAGAATGCTCTCGTTTTAAAGGTAACTAAATTGCGTTTTATACGACATACGTTAACAATTAATAAAATATTTGTATGAGAAAATATTCATCAAGAAATCACAAAGGGAATACGTTAGTAACTCCGTTTGTTTGCTTCCAAGTGTATTTTATTTTAAAACCATTTCTATATTAGATAACATCACGCCTTTTATCCCCGAAGGGGTAGGCAGAGGTGCACATTACGGCTCTTAATGCCACTGTACAATGTAACACCCACTTTTCCCTATTTATGTTATGAGTCCCATGTAATAGAGGGTGAACCTATTGCCATATATCGGACACAATTCCAGACTCCGTGCTACTACTGAGATTTTTAAATATTTTCAGGAAATGTGGAGCCACAGCGATTGGTCTATGTTGTCAGTTGGTTGCGTTACTATGCGCTCTGCTGACCCCCTACCTGCCAGAAACCACGAGGAAACTAAGAGAACAGCTCAACTTGAAGCCAGAGAAGCTGAGGATTAACCCTGAGTGAGTAGATTATGTCCATAGACTGCTAGTCACTTGCTAATCCCCAATCAAATTGACAACAGGGATGATGACAGGGTATGAAAATGTTTAATCTAATTAGTCCGTAAGTTAGGTAATGAAAAAATATTAGACACGTATTTTTTTATTTTGTCGTAGGCCTATAATATAATAAAACTATATATAGGCCTATAATAAAACAATACTTAGATAAAACGAATCAAAGTAGGAGTGGGGGCTAAAACGTCATTTCTACGTATAAATAAAATGTACATAGAAGTGACGTCACGCGACATTTCAAATCAATATATCGTCGAAAGTATTCGTTTCTGTAAGCATATAAAAAATACGTGTCTAATGATTTAAAATAATCTACCATACGGACATTAAAATAAAAATGATTACGTGAGTAAGCCGAAAACATAATTATAAATTTACTATGACCCACGGAAACCTGATTGAGAAAGATTAACCTATGGAGTCTCTTGCTCGTTCTTCTCCATAGGAATTTACACCTTGGAATGAGCAAATAGCTTCACTTTTAATTTTTTTTTTATTGAATTTGTAAGCCTTCGGTGCTATCTATAAATTACGTCATAACTTAAGGGGGAGGGAGGGGGTCGACGAAGTGTGACATTGTTTATTGTTTGATTTTACATTAATATTTTGTTAAAATAATTTAAGTGGAAATAAAAATAACAATACTTTCTAAACTGTGATTCTGAAAAATGTGACGTCACACTAGGGGGGGGTCTCACAAATGTTACTATCTGTGACAAGGACGTGGGGTGGGGGCAAAAAGTCATGAAATTCGTGTGACGTCATTTATGGATGACCCCTTCGTGGTCTAATTGAAATAAATGACTTTGTCTTGACATTTACTTTATGTACTTTTGTATACAGGAATCCATCTTTGCTGCAATATTTGCCAGCTGGACACATGATCGGGAAACCGGAGCCATTGTTCACGAAGATAGAGACGGAACTACTGTACAAGTTGCGGGCCAAGTACGCTGGCACGCAGAGCGAGAGGGCCAACAATAGTAAGGTCGGTACTGACGGAGGCTGCGTCTGCGCATACTCGTGTATTGCATATGTTTAGGTACATGTATGTGTGGGTGTATAAATTGTTTATGTACAACTAGCTTCTGCCCGTGGTATTGTCCGCGTTCCCGTAGGATAAAGTCTCATGTCAGTCGGTTCCCTGATTTTTTATGGCATATTTATTTATTTTTTTATTTATTTATTTATAATTCATGGAGGATTTACAGCTTATAAAAATGGATAAAAATAACAATAGGCGTAGGTAACAATGAGCCAATAACAAGTCCTCACCTTTATGATTTGGAATAAATTAATTAATATTGTGTGAATACTATACAATATTAAAAATACATACATTCTGCATAAATGAGAATATTGATGATTATAAACAGATCAAGAGAAACGATAAAGAGAACTAAATATTTAGTGCTGCTTAAAAAATTTGAGGCTTAAGCACCTCTTTGCATAGTCCGGTAAACAAGCAGACGATGGTAAGCCATCGTCGCCGCCCATGGACACCTGGAACACCAAGGTGTTACATTGCCAGACTGCTGAGAATCGTGACTCCCTCTGATTTTGCTAACTAGATGTCTTTTTTATGGAGTGAGCTGTTAAATGAGTTGACGTATCACCTGATGGTAAGCCATCGTCGTCGTCCATGGACATCTGGAGTTACAAGTGCGTTACCGGCCTTCTGGAGATAAGGAATTTGAGGACTGTTGGGGATTCAGGGATTGGGGGAAATTGGGGAATGGGGGGGGGGTCGTAATTTGCCTCCTGCCTAACTAAACTATTTTTTTCACCCGGGGAAAATGCGGTGCATACGTTATGTGGGGCTCGAACCGACTAAAACCCCGAGGTGTGCCACTCGCGTATGAGGGCGGGTCACGAGAACTGTACTTTGTCTCTGCGTTGTCGCCCCGCGCTGCGTCAGCCCGACTTCACGAAACGCCGGACTGCTCCTGCCGGGCGGCGCACGCGCACACCGCGGATGCCGCAATATAAAATAACTAGCTTTTACCCGCGGCTTCGCTCGCGTCACAAAAGGATAAAATGTACCCTATGTGACATATACCAATACACACAGCGCCATCTATACCAATACTTTTGTTTTCCCTCAGGAATATCAAATTTTTCCGGGATAAAAAGTACCCTATTATTTAATCCGGACTTCTAACTTTACGTCTGCAAAAATTCAATGCAATCGGTTTAGTAGATACGGCGTGAAAGCGGAACAAACAAACAAACAAACTCACTTTCCGATTTATAATATTAGTGTACAGTCTTAAACTGTACACGCTGCATATGGGTAGTGCTGATGCGGCAACTATGTCGCGTCGCGCGTTCGTAATTTAAGTATAAATAGTCATCGATTAAGTAAACTCAGTGTGTGCTAATAAACCAACGATAGAGAAAGGAATCGCCAACATGCAACTTGTATAACTTAACTAATAAACGTAACATAAGTGATTCTTTCTCTTTGCACTCATCAACTCAACTGATTTAACTTCAAGAAGCAAACATCTTTACCAGCGAACCTAAGCAAGGTGTACCTAACCGTACAATTAGTAAGGATGAAATTTCATACCTTTCCCGTGTTGACGGGATTGAGTAACAATATTTAATAAATAAATAAATAAATCTTTATTCATTATAAGAAATTGGTCATAGTACAGATAAAAATCTTAATTTTAAATCAGAGACCTCACTAGGTTTGAATGCCTGTACTAGGAAAAATATCCTGTATCACAGGCGAAAGGAGCACTTACAACATTACTAATTCTAGGACAAGTTATTTATATAAACAAATTCCATAACATAAGTAATCGATCAAAATAAAGTAAAGTTGATTATTTAATATACATACATACATACACACTAAACAACATACAACTAAATATTAATATTATCGTATAAGTACATTTATTAAACAAGTAATTATATTAGCTTAAATACAAAACATAGATATACATATATATATAAAACATTGGAGGAACTATAGTACTGAAGAATTTGATACATCAACAGAAACATAATCTAGTTTACAGTCCAAACGGTCATTCACTTGGTGTTACAATAAAATACGCTTGAACAGCAACAAATTGTTGAGTACGCCAACTTGTTACGATGTTAACTAATGTGCAAGGGAAGGTTAATCAACTCTGTAATCCGAGAGTATGACACTTTACGCGTCCTCATAATCGATAGAGTTGATATACCTATATTCAGCTATTTTCCTAGCCGGACAGTCAGTGTCTCCGGTTTTATGGTTATTCGGCTTATTGTAACGAGAGCATGTAGCACATTTAGGGGATTCCGACTTTTTAGTGCACGAGGATTGTACATGTCCTGCTTCTCCACAATGGCCACACGATGAGTTGATCTCCCTGCATGATTTTGCTGCATGTCCATATAGTTGGCAATTATAGCATCGCGTTACAAGCGTAAAGTCTCTGACGGGGCAAGAGGTCCAATTGATGTAAATTCTCTCTTGGGATATAAGGGCTTTACGTATCTTGCCTGGAACTTCGATGATGAAATTGCAGGTCGGTGCATCCTTTCTTCCCGATTTGTGACTTAACTTGACTGATGTTAAGAAAGACTCCATTGTCATCTCCGGGAGCTTGTCAGACACGTTCTGTTCATAAATACACCTGAAGACGTCAGTATCATTCATTGTCGACGGCACTCCTATAACTGCGATTCGTGGCTTGCGCTTCTTAGGTTCGTCTGCGAGAAGACCGGATAACGACAGGCCAACTGCATTCTTCACTTTTTCAGCATCCTGTTTCGACTCAGTGCTGATTATTACACCTCCGTTTTGTGTCTTGCGGACTCCACGCACGTGCAGCTTCATCTCACTAGGACTTATAAGTGTTTGCACCATAGTTTTAGTTTCCTCGCTAGTTTTCAATTTATTGGCCGGATACACAGCGACAGAGGCCAGATTGTTTGGTCGAACGAAATCGGATCCTTTTCTTACCATGTCCGCAAAAGTCACAGTCTTGGCTGTAGTTGAGTCCTTGAGAGATTTTTTAATCTCGTCAGTAATAATAAGTAGTAATATGTGTATATTGTTTTTGCAGGAAAATGGATCAGCGGGAGCCGTCGCCGACCTTGAAGAAGCCGTCAAACAACAGGTATGGACTATGTGTAGCTAGTTAGACTCAAGTTTAATTGATTAGTTTCCAGGGTATCAAAACAAAAATCTAATTAGTCCGTCAGACGTCCTTCGTAAAATGACGCTAAGTTTAGGAGTGGGGTCGCGGAGAACCTAACGGGTAACCGGGGCTCCGGCTCGACGTGCAGGAGAAGGAACGGGGTGGTTGTTAGTCAGTAAGAGTCTGACACTCCCTCCCGCCTCACCCAGGCGGGAGCAGTCACTTGATGATTTTCCCCCTTAAAAAAAAGTCTAATTGGGTAGTTTCCAGGGTATGAAAATTAAAAATCTAATTAGTCCATCAGTTAGATAATGAAAAAATATTAGACACGTATTTTTTATTTTCTCGTATTAAGTTGCAATACTTAGATAAAATGGCGCTAAGTTTAGGTGTGGGAGGTCGTTACGTCATAACGTGCTACTAAATGAGGCACGCTGTGACGTCACATGATATTTCAAATTAACCCTTTGAGTACCGTCATTATAGACACAATTAAAGAACAATGGTGTGCGGACACCGGTGTCCTCCCGGTGTTTGACAGTTTAATATATCGTCGAAGGTATTTAATTTTATGAAAAAATAAAAAATACGTGTCTAATGTTTTAAATTAATGTACCAGACGGACATTAAAATAAAATTTATAAAACTACCCTATGTATGTTATCTTAGCTGTTGTCAGCATACCAAAGCTAACATAATTTTATTATACTAATAAAGTAAAAAAAAATATTCTTTAAAATCTTATTATACATTTCTTAGTGATAGATATGTTTGAATGATTGAACGAATTGTAACACTTAATCTGTAATTATTCTATTCTGTTAGTTTCTTATGACTTATTTCTATTGATTTTATTATTTCATTGTTATTGACATTATTAGTGCATCTTGACATTTCCTTATAGATTTATTGCAAAATTAATTAATATTTGTACACCGGTCACAGTGAAGCATGTTGATACCAACAATACTGTACATCTATAGTAAACATTCATTTTTGCATGTATTATTGTAACCTACACATGTTTTGGCAAATAAAACTATCTTTATCTTTATCTTAACAATTTTCAGGGTGAGAAAGTGCGTCAATTAAAATCTTCAACAAAAGACAAGTCAGTGTGGCAGCCTGAGGTGACCAAGCTGTTGGAGCTGAAGAAGCAGCTCGACGCTGCAGTGAAGCTGCAACCGACACCAGCGCCCCCTGGCGCCACCAGTGTGGAGAAGTTAGAGAAGGATGTCGCTGATCAGGTACAATTTGGTTGAGTTTATCGTAGAAACTAACTGCTCCCACGCTGGTATACCGGCTGCTCGGCTCCTATTGATGGTAGCGTAAGAGTCTTGTCGCGGAGAACCTAACGGGTAACCGGGGCTCCGGCTCGACGTGCAGGAGAAGGAACGGGGTGGTTTTTAGTCAGTAAGAGTCTGACACTCCCTTCCGCCTCACCCAGGCGGGAGCAGTCATTCGATGATTTTTCCCCCCTTAAAAAAAAAGCGTAAGAGTCTTAGTGGCCCGGAGATATAAGACGCTCGCTTCTCATGCCTAAGGGTATGGGTTCGAAACCTACCAACGTTACGTTCTTATTCTATTCTTATTCTTATTCTTAAAAAGTGGCTAATGACATAAGTAATTTTTCTGAATTTCATATATTTGCGGATGCAACTTGTCAAAAAACGTGCGGGATTCAGCAATTGCAATCCCTATATAGTTCAGGTTTATCAGAAATTGCTGCTGTCTGGTCTATATTATGTTTTGTCGCTTAGCTTACGACATCTGCCGGGGCTCCGGCTCGACGTGCAGGAGTAGGAATGGGGTGGTTTTTAGTCAGTAAGAGTCTGACACTCCCTCCCGCCTCACCCAGGCGGGAGCAGTCATTCGATGAATTTGCCATATAACATAACATCACGCCTTTTATCCCTGAAGGGGTAGGCACATTATACCACTGCACAATGTAACACCCACTTTTCACTATTTATGTTATAAGTCCCATGTAATAGTAGGTGAGCCTATTGCCATATATCGGACACAATTCCGGACTCTGTGCACAACTGAGATTTTTTTTTAAATGTAATAGTACTTTGCCCGACCTGGGAATAGAACCCGAGACCCCTAGCCCGGCAGTCGCACTTGCGACCACTCGGCAAACGAGGCAGTCTTGATTTTTCCCCCTTAAAAAACTCCTTGCTCGTTTTTCTCCATTCGAATCTACTTTTTGGAATGAGCACCTAGCTTCACCTAGTTTCACTGACGGACTGACTGACAGACTATTATTTATTTTGTATTTGTTGACGTTTCAAAAGTACCAAACTATGGTTTAACTCGTCGAGTACCGTATTTATAGACACAATTAAAGAACAATAGGTCGCGGTCACCGGTGACCGCTTGGTGTTTGACAGTTTAATTGAAATAAATGCTTTGACTCACAACACCTGTGGGTAGAGGTGCCCTAAAAATTTCTATTTTTTTTTTGTCACAGGGTGAGAAAGTGCGAAAACTAAAAGCTTCGACAAAGGACAAGGCAGTGTGGCAGCCCGAAGTAGCCAAGCTGCTGGAGCTGAAGAAGCAGCTCGAAGACGCGAAGCTGCAATCTGCATTACAAGCTACAATGGCCAAGGGAGCTGGAGACGTCAGCGCTGTGGAGAAAGCTGTCGCTGAACAAGTGAGTCGTACTGATTTATTTCTCGCGTCACAATAGGATAAAAAGTAGCCTATGTGACATATACCAATACATACAGCGCAATCTATACCAATACTTTTGTTGTCCCTCGGGAATATCAAATTCTTTCGGGATAAAAAGTACCCTATTATTTAATCCAGACTGTTAACTTTACGTCTGCGAAAATTCAAAGCAATCGGTTTAGTAGTTACGGCGTGAAGTCGGAACAAACAAACTCACTTTCCGATTTATAATATTAGTAAGGATTAGCTTTCCGCCCGTGACTTCGTACGCGCAATCCCGTTTTCTCCCGTTCCCATAAGATTTTTAGGATTGTTTTTCTATCATAAGAACCTTCTGACAATAACAAATACAACAAAAAAGAAATCAGCCAAATTGGTCCAGTCATTCTCAAGTTATGGCGTAACAACGGGAAACGGGTTTCATTTTTTTATATATTAACCCTTTGAAAATCCCAAAATTTGTTCATACAAAAGTAGTCTCTATACATTGGAAATAAGGTCTATAATGTAGTTAGTGGATAGCGGTCACCGGTGACCGCTTGGGGATATTACATTTCATGATATATCGATAGGCAAACGAGCTGACGGATTTTTAAGACCCTTTTATTTTTACTTAAATTTTATAATGTTCCAGTTTTTGGGATAAAAAGTAGACTATGTGTCATTCCAGACCATATTCTATCTCTAATCCAAATTTAATCACGATCCCTCCAGCCGATTTGACATGATTGTGTTACAAACATACACACTCACTTTCACATTTATAATATTAATTAGCGACCCACCCCGCCTTCGCACGGGTGCAATATACATGTATTATACATATAAACCTTCCTTAAGAATCACTCTATCTATTAAAAACACCGCATCAAAATCCGTTGCGTAGTTTTAAAGATCTAAGCATACATAGGGACAGACAGACGGCGGATAGCCACTTTGTTTTATACTATGTAGTGATAATACAAAGATTGTCCTCTGTGTTGTTTGTGTATGTGTACGCCTGGGTGCTTACTCTTGAAACCAATCTCAATGTCAATGCAATTTCAATCCAATAAAATCTCAATAATTATTTATTGTCAACACTATACAACCCCTATCGTAGCTGTTAAAATAGCATTCAGAGTACGGAATATAAAGCCAAACTCAATATCATTTACTTCATTCAATATCCACGCAATACGAATGCAACTCAAGAGTACGAAAATTCACAATACCAATATCAATCGATCGGAATTGGATTTAAGAGTATGCCCTCTGTACGGGTGTCCTGATGGTAAGCAATCGGCGTCGCCCATGGACACGAACACTAGAGGCCCAGTGCTGAATGTTATGTTTATGATATTTTTTACATTTACAGGCGGACAAAGTGCGAAAACTAAAAGCTTCGACGAAGGACAAGGCAGTGTGGCAGCCCGAAGTAGCCAAGCTGCTGGACCTCAAGAAACAACTAGCCGACTTACAAATTAAGAAATAAATTAATATTTATTTATTGAAAATATTCGTTTTATTTTGTACTACCTAGTCTCGAGCGGTGTCACTCGCTGCTCGGTTCCTATTGGTCGTAGCGTGATGTTTTATAGCCTATAGGCTATCCCTTCAGCCCATTTATCGAGGTTTTTCTTATTCTTTCTTATTTATCGAGAGATTCCTCGATAAATGGGCTATCCAAATCGGACCAGTAGTTCCTGAGATTATCACATTCAAACAAACACACTCTTCAGCTTATATTATTACAAAAAGTTTATTTTCGGCTCTGAAAAGTACCAGGGAAGCAGAATCGGACGCTTCACTAGTGCATATACACTCAATTTTTAAGAAATAGTAACATCTGTGTATTCCTAAATCACCCTAAATCGCCCGCTTGTCATGTATGTGCGGGTTCGAAATCTACTAATTGCAAGTACCAATGTGACATTTTCCGAGTTATATGTACTTTCTAAGATTATTTAGTCACCACTGACAAACGATAAAGGAAAACATTGTGAGGAAATTCTAATTATATGCTTGAAATCGTCAACCCGCATTGAGCAAGCGTGGTGATTAATGCTCAAACCTTCTCTGTGTGAGAAAAGGCTTTGCTCAGCAGTGGACATTTACAGGCTGTTGATGAAATCACTCTAAAACTCGATAATCGTTGATTCGATTCGGTTAACCTCTTATCTGTTGAAACACCGGTTCCCGGGCTCCCGGTATAAAACACATTATACCGGTAACTTTCAACAGACTAGAGGCTAATTTTGTTTTCGAAACATTCTTACAATGACAACAGTAAACATACATAAAAAAACTACGTTTAAAAATCGTCTTAAAACAAAAGAAAACTAAAAACAAACAAAAAGTAATAACTAAAAGGCAAAACAACTATTATTAGTACCTACTGATAGGTTACCCACCTACAGAAGTCTGTACCATCAGTTCTAAACAAAATTAATCATTAAAACCTTAATAGCCTAATAAGCCAATAACCTGTTTACTATTTTGTGACCATTAAGTTATATTTCTTCATATTTGATAGGCCGACGTTTGACCATTGTCTCACCTCGTTGATGCGGTCTACGATGGAGCACGTCGTCCCATAAGTACCTAACCTATTCACTCGGGCCTTGAAGACACCCCGCTTCAGGAAACACAGACTCTGGCGAATAATTCCACTCCTTAGCAGGACGCACAAGGAAGCTTGAAGCGAAGTGGTACGTGCGTGTGGGTGGAACATCTACCATGAATCGGTGTCGCTTCGCCGATTGTCTTGTGGTACGATGATGGAAAGGACTAGGAGGAATCAAGTTGTGCAATTCCCCCGCACACTCTCCGAAATGTATCCGGTAGAAAATATTTTTCTATTATTATTTTATTTTAGGGGCTTTTAACCAATAGGCTACGTCAGCCCCATCGTACCCCAAACTTATCTATCTAAAAACATTTTAAATTAACTAAAAGTTAATTAGAAATATAAAATACAAGCGGGTCATCACTGTTGCAACATCATTACAATTTTTTTTTTTTTTTTTTAAGGGTGGAAAATCATCGAATGGCTACTCCCGCCTGGGTGAGGCGGAAGGGAGTGTCAGACTCTTACTGACTAAAAACCACCCCGTTCCTTCTCCTGCACGTCGAGCCGGAGCCCCGGTTACCCGTTAGGTTCTCCGCGACTCCGAATCGGCATCGGCCCTATTGGGCCCCATCTGTGGTGGTCTGATGGCTCTTTGAGGCGCGCGCGGAACGCGACGCGCCGTACGCTAACATCCTTACAATAGATCGTGCTGCATTGCTTAAAGTTTCTGACAAAATACTAGAAAAGGATCACAAAGAATATTTTTATATTAAAATATTGCATCAGTGCGTCCGTCGCCACCTTAAATGTAACACACTCCACCAGCATATGATAAACATCATCTAACTTGCCCTATACTTCACAGTTAGGTGAATTTACTTTTTTGTAACAAATGCGAAACTTATTGTGTGATAATGTCTGATTCACAGTCGGAGTAATGTTACAATACCTTTCCTATTTAATTTACATTCAGCTTTTAACACTCACATTGGAGAGTTTTAAACCAGATACCTTTTCCCTGCTTCTTTCATCAATATTCTTTGAAACTCCCTTTACGCCTTGAAGCCGGGCCTCCACAAGCACATCATCGTTGATGAACCTCTTGGCACGCCTCTCAATGTGCTCTAACCCCCTGGCCACAGCCAAGCGCGACGCGAATTGCGGCGCGAAATGCGGCGCGACAAGCGGTGAGCGGGGAAAACAAATGGTAGACAACGTATGAAGTATGCCACAGCTAACGGCGACGCGAATTGCGGAGCGACTTGCGGCGCGAAAAGCGTCGCGCGACATGCGGCGGCGACGGGCGGCGCGGTGTGCGAGTGAAACAAATGCACTGGGGAGTATCGAGGCGGCCACAGCCAGAGCGGCGTATGCAGCGGCAGCGAGGGGACGAATTTGTGTTCGCGCGAACAGAACAAATCGTTTTGAAAATTTCGCTCCGCATCAAATGGATACCGAAAAACTTATTAGTGAGATATTGATAGTTAGATTAGATAGTTTGGATAGTTCCTATATTCGTGATAAAGCGTGTGAAATTCGCCAAGGTTTTTCATTAACTGGGTGCGTTCCAATTTTAGAGTTAATGATATCTTGAGCTAAAAACGCATTAGTCTCAAGACAATATCGTGCCACTTTTGATAGGGCCATTATAAATAATACTGAGTACATCCACCGCTGACGCCGCCGCGGTCACAAGCTGTGGCCAGGGCCTCATTGACTGCCCTGTGAATTTTTTTAGTGCCCAAATTTTAAGACTTATCTACAGTGCCCGCACTATTACGTTCAATGTTTGCCCTTTTCGTGTGCCGGAAACTCATATATGCGTTCTTACGGCTCTCACCGTGTGCCCGCAACTCGTATATGCGTTCGTTCGACTCTCGGCGGGTGCCCGCGACGCGTCTGTGCGTTTGTTATACAGCCTTGGCCAAAAGTATTAGGCACCCCCAATAAAGTTCCCGTGCACCCGTGCTATTTAAACAATGAGTAAATATTCTTTTGAAAGATGATCTCGGGGTCATAAACCACTATTTAAGATATTGGGCGGCAATATTTAAGTGGTTGTATAATATATGGTGCATCAATAACGAAATATTATTTTTTTACAAAACTTACTTTTAATGTTTGATCAGTCTGCATTTGGAAGTCTTCGCATAAAGACAGAACATTTGTAGTTTTTTGATTAAATAGAGAACAAATTTATTTGGAAATGCTAATTAGAAACGAAATTTGTCTTAAAATCGTGTGTAAGTCAAACTTTTACATTAGCAAGGAGAGACCCAGAAAGAAATTGTGAAGTTGGCAAAATATTCGCGATGTGCAGTTCAATATTCTATTAAACGTTTTGATAGGGCCGGTACTAATGCGAATAAACCAAGAACAGGCAGAAAAAGCGTGACTGCTAGCCACCAGGACAGGAAACATAACCGCGAGCGTATCAAAGAGCGAAAAAAATTTACTTTGGAGCTTGCTGCAGCTTTAACTGAAGAGGCTGGTAAACCCATAAGCGCTCGGACTGCAAGACGAACGATAATAGAAGCAGGTTTAAACGGTTACGAAGCCAGAAAGAAGCCGTGGCTTTCAGCAGAGAACAAAAGAAAACGTCTTGTTTGGGCTCTGAGACACCAACATTGTACAGAGGAGTATTGGTCCAATGTACCATGGTCGACGAATCAAACTTTGAAGTAAGTTTTATTAATTGAGTCTATTACACAATTGCAACGATTATTATTGTATTAGTCTTCAAACTCAAATGTTATAAAGATTTGTATTGTGTCAATTTTGTTTTATCATTTCAGGTATTTGGAAAACCAGGTGTGACGTTTGTGAGCCGTCGCAGAGGCGAAGAATATCACCCAGATTGCGTAGTCCCAACCATAAAACACGGCAGAAGCCTCGTAATGATTTGGGGCTGCATGGCTGTGAATTAAGTCGGCAAAATGTGCACTTACGAAGGTCGCATGAACCAGTGAAAAATACATAAATGTATTAGAAAGTGCTCTTATGCCTTCATTTTACTATATTTTTGGTAACACTAATTTACTTGGGTTAAATTTCACCAGGAAAACGCGCCTTGTCATAAATCAGCGACACATTGCACTGGTTTACTGAAAACTGTATTGCCCTATTAGATTGGCCTGCCCAGTTCCCGGATCTAAATCCAATTAAACATTTGTGGGGTATTTTAAAGAAAGACATCAAAATATATTCCACAACATCAAAAACTGCATTAAAACAGGCTTTAGTTCACGAATGGGAAGCAATTTCTCAAGAGGAATGCGTAAACCTTGTACGCAGTATACCCCACAGAGTTGCTGCTGTAATAAAATCAAAGGGTGATCCAACAAAATATTAATGTTTTTGTGTGTTTTTAATAGAAATAAAGTTAATTAATCAAAAAAAGTAGTTTTGTTTCTCTCTAAATCAAAAATATGAAATAATTCATAAGGTGCCTAATACTTTTGGCCAAGGCTGTATACTTACAGAAATACGATAGAATATTATGTATCTGTAGATAAAAGTTGGGTGATGACACACTGCAATGGAATTTATAATCCCAAAAGATAATTCATGTAGAGAAATTGAAAAATTAATCTAAATATAAACTAAGGATGAACGTAATAATTCTGTAGTTGGTAAGTAGGTTTATGTTCAGAACATTATTGTATTTTATTTAACGCGTCCAGCCGATATATAGCCAATTGTCAAAATTATACGAAATACTATAAAACTATGCTAAAAAAAATCTCTTACGTTCTTTAGTGAGAAATAAAACGTCTTTTAATTTTGAATCTTTCATAATCAAGAAAATTTGTGTAAGAAGCGTCAATAAACAAAAAATATAATACAAGAAGGGAGTCTTGTTGTTATACGTCTGGTGTTTATTAATATAAGTTTTTTTAAAATTAATAATAAACATGTTAAAA